TTCGATGAGCTTTCATTTGGTATAAAATTCATTATTTACTCTATTTGGAATTATAGCAGTACCCCCTATCAAAATATTATTTCCAACCCTGTATATATATTTAGTATTATTTTGGGTATCTTTCTATAAAAAAATATGACTATAAATTATTGATTATGAATATGGATTATTAAATGATGTAATATTGAATTTGAATTTAGTCTGATAATGATGAAAAACAAGAAATCCGTCGAAATTCTCTTGTATTGAAATAAATGTTTTAGCGATATTTTTATCTGTTTATTGTTGATTTTATATATCCTTATTTAATTAAGATTACGTTTTTCAGTTCTTTAACATTGATGATAAAGCCAAGAAAGAAAAATATTTGAATAATATTTTGCAAAATAATCGAATATAAATAAGAGATATAGTCTTACTTCACAATTAAAATAAAATCGTTCGACATAGGTGTGTAAATACGTGAGTCATAGCAACAGAAATAAAAGAAAAAGAACAATGTCGAAGGCTGTCTCTTTTTCTATCCGTCTTCATTGACTAAATATGTATTTATTTGTTACGGTTGAGAAATGTTTTTTTTCCTCATTGTTTTCATATAACTATACCATTAAGAAAATCATATATAAATAGACACCATAAAATAAGTTTTTATTCATTGATTAAAAGAGAAATATATATATATTATTATATAAAAATACATATGTTTTTGTGGTGTCCTGTTTAGATCATCTGATCATCAAAGTAAACGGTAAACATTATTTTGTTTCAAAAGAAAATGTTTCTTTTATTCACTGGGAACGGAGAAAAACATGTATCAGTACGAGGGTTAACGATGGTAGTACATACATCGAGACGTAGTTGTAAATACTGATACTATGACTGCATCGGGTCATTAGGATTACTATTTAATTCATTACGATTTTTACGCTACTTCTATGACATATAGAATTTTAGGAACTTTAATGAAGCAACGTAAACACGACGCAGCTACAGCTTGTAAACGGCTATCGTATACTGTCACATGTTCCAGGCTGAAAATCACCATATTTGTGCTGTATACATCTGTCAACGTGCTGTATGGTTCAACCTTACATATCATGATTTAGAATAAAAAAATAAAAGAACATTTACATTTTTAAGCTTAAATATTTTCCAGTACAGAAAATATTAAGAGAGCAGAACACATTTCATGAAAGCATGAATAGATAGACTTTCGATTATCCAGCTAAAAATATTCATTTCAATAACAAAGATATGTAAATTAATCAAGCATGAATAATTTTTATAGATATCAAAATTTCATGATATAATTATCATGTTACCTTTTAACAATTTATAAATTACCAGTACTGCTTGTGTAACCAATACTGATATGAAACGTATGTGTTAGAAAGCGTGTAAGTGGATGTGTAAACGTACATACGAGTGTGGATACTGATGTGCACAACGTTGCCTTAATTGGCAAGGATTTAGGTGTGCGCCCATGTAGATTCTCTCTTTAAATATTATTCAAACTAATTGGACACAGAGCAATACACCACCACACTAACTAACCCACTGCCAGATACACCTCCTACGAGAGCAAAAACACATTCAGAAACACCACACCCTGTTTTCAGTCGAGGAAATAATAGAACTTCTAACAACAGCTCATAGATGTAGCATCTTCACACGATCAGTCATAAATGTTTCTCAACTGTATTTTGCTTTCTAGATATTCTGATCAATTCTTATTTAATCAATGATACTCTTTCTTATTGGATTACTTTTTGTGAGCATTTGTCAATCACACATTATCCAACAGCGAGCAACTTGCTCATGGCCTGGACACTGTGCCGGTGCTTTATGTAGCACTGAAAATGATTGTGCGGGATCGTTGATTTGTGTCAATGGGAAATGTGGTACTCGGTCTTCTGGAAACTGTTTACCTTCAGGTGTATTGATAGGCGAAAAGTAATCTTTTTATATAACTCTTCCGCGCTTTACCTCTTTGGTCTTTTTTGCAGTACCAATTGCAATACAGAAAATAGGTCCGAGTGCTGTGAGAAAGGAAGGTCTTATAGTCAATATAAATGCTCTCCTAAATCAACTAGCTCAGCGATACTTACGTTAAACAGTTTTCAAAAAGGTGGTGATGGTGGTGGTGCAGGTGCATGTTATGGACGTTTTTATTCCGATAAGCAGCGTGTCGTTGCCTTATCAACAGGATGGTACAATAAAGGATTACGATGCGGAAAAAGAATTACTATTCGTGGCAATGGTCGGACGACAACAGCGCAAGTCGTTGATGAATGCGATTCAGTACATGGATGTGATGCAGAACATGCGGGACAACCACCCTGTCGTAATAATATTGTTGATGGGTCTCCAGCTGTTTGGAAGGCATTAGGTGTATTCAAAAATGATCCACGATATGGGGAGATGAAAATTTCATGGAGTAATTTATACTGATTAAAAACCTTGTTAGCGAAATCTCCTAGGGGCTGAAATGTAGAACTTACATAGTTTCGTTGGCTTATTTCTACTGATACATAGAATATATAATGAAAAATTGTTGCACATCATATTTGTTTTTCAAGATAACCGATCAACGTAAATAATAATCTGTCTTATTTATTTCTGCATTGCTAAATTTATGATCATGATATTAAAACGTGAGAAATCAATGCATCATTACCTATCATTCTTGATATATTGAATACATTTTTCTTTTTTATTGGCGCCAAAATCAGAAACTGTATTACTAAAAACATTGATAAAATATTTTAGTCATTCGAATTCTGATCGAGTCTTGGGAATGTTCCAGAACAATTAAAGTATTGTAGTTCATGCAACACAATGTGTTTTCGTTGCTAGTGAACATAGGACAAGAAGTCAGATGGCTATTGACTACGACTGATAAGATCTTTGAGAGAGTGTGCCTGTAATGAACAGGAGGAAAGGGAGCGGCTGGAAAACTTCGACTTAAAATTTATACTTGTTATTTTCTTCGACAATATATGTAAGTTTCAAAAACTACAGCAAGATGGAAGAATAATTAAAACCATATAAAAATCTTATTTTATGTCAAATTTTTAGAAGCAATTATTTAGTACGAAAAGTTCTTGCTCTAACTATAGCACAAACAGCAGATATTCAAGATTGATACCAATAGAACAAGCGTATTCCACATTGGCATCAGGCTCGGTAACTGTAGCATGTCTTTCCGTTGAAAACTCTGAAAACAAATATTATAATAGGAAAGCATTTCTATGAAAAGATATTAACATTGCTGTGATTGTAGGAAAATGTTTAGTACGTAATATGTCGAGAGAATTTCAAAAAATCGCCAGAGAAGTGATTTCGAAATAAACAATTTTCTGATAATGCGGAAAACAGCCGGAACCTCATATCTACCTGAAAAGAACAAGCTTTTACAGAATTTGCTTCATATAAAATAATTTTAACATTTCGCTCATTGATCTCACTAAAGATGAACAGAAAATTTTGGTCAGCAATCCTTTGTGAACTGAAAACCGTTATCATGAACAGAAATATGTTCTAATAAAATACTCCTCAAAGATTTTCGGTCTTCTGTCACTTCAACGAGTAAAACAAATCTATGGAATATATGGAGAAATAATATATGTATATGTAGTTGGCAAATTTAGAATTTAGTTGAGATCGGAATAGCATTTTTGTAATTTTCTTGCAAGAAATTTTGTTTATACCGTAAGTAAGTATTTTGCCTGTTTTTTTTTACGAAGAATATAAATTTAATACGATATTTGATCATCTATAGAGCCCATCGGTCTTGAAGTCAGAACCTGATCCCGTTCGATTCTGAAAAATTTTGGATTCAACGTAGTCTAACTATCACACAGTGATTTATATTTTTTTGCCGAAAAAACTCATTATGATAAGAAACATCGAAATAAATAAATGTCAAAGACTTTTAAAATTGAGATTTTTATATATTTAAACAGATCATCTAATGAAAAAAGCATTCCCATATGAGAAAAAAAGCCGTCGCTATTTTTTAATATACGGACGGAAATGAATGTATATGTTAGAGACGTAAATTATTTATGTACAATTAATTAGATTTGATCGATATTGAATTGTTAATGATATGTCACGATGTTTGAGAATTTCTTGAATTGATACATATTGTTGTTCAAACATAGTAAAATCATTCAATAAAAATAATTTTAATGTTTTTTCAAATGATTCATTTGGATTTTTTGTAACAGGAAAAATTTTTAATGTCCATAATGATTTATTATTTTCATCATCAAATAAATCATTCATATGACGATGAATTTTTTTAGCTATTGTTGATAATGTTTGACCAAAATACATTATTTTATCACTATTATTATATGTTATTTTCATATTATCATGAAATCCAAATGCAAATGTTGCAAATAATTCATCATTTAAAGGAATTGTTTGCATAATTAAATTTGATGGAAGATAAAGAATATTTTGATTAAAATCAGAATATGTTAATAGTGTTATATTACTTAATATTGTATTTTCACTTATATGCATTGGTATACCAATACAACAATATTCAAGTAATGAACGTTTTGATGATCGACATTTCGGATGAATAAAACTATGTATAACACAACCATGAACATCAGGAGCAGAAGGTTGATGATGTAATGTATCACCATGAGGTAATGCAGGTAGAATTCTAAATAGAAAAAATTAAGAATAAAAATTTAATTGACTATTCATTTCAAAATATAATATGCTTCACTATTTTTACACTATTGAAGTATACAGAAATTAATTTAATTGATTAATTAGATGAATTTTTTTTGAAAACGATATTCTACTGGCGCTGTTATCTCAATATTCTATAATCAGTCTCTATGTAACAAAGCAGTCGACATTTCAGAAATATTCAGAGAACAATATCATATCAGTTCGAACCTAAAAACAAATGTTCCCATTTAACTTTTGATAGATTGATGATCAACCGAATTTCAGCAAGTCTTCTCTTTTGAAAACTGGAAGTCTCTATAAAATTTAGATAAAAACCTATTCAAAAAAACAATGGAGAACATTATTGTTCGGAATGGATTGCATCAGAGCTACGTATCGAATGGGACCAACATCTTTTACAAAAATCTATTTTTCTTGAGAACAATCAAATCGTTTTAAAATAGATGCTTTACTTGCTGAAATCATGACCTTGGTTACGTGAATATTATGAAATACCAAAGAGCGTGAAGTTCTATTGGATGGGACGAAATATGTGGCGATAGTTCCATTCCATCTCACATGAAGCTCAAGATAGTATGTTTTATGAGTTTTTGTAAAATCAACTTTAATTGAAAATTCGCTGTATACATTTGATAGGATAGGTTTGTTTTCGAAAAAACTGGATTGAAAATATGAGATATGTTCAAACTTTCGAACAAGATAACTACTAACGTTTTTATCAATTTGATAATCATATAACAGTACAAATCAGTTCGTTTTTTGTTCAGAAATATTTAAAATTACAAAATTTTTAGAAATTCAGGTGAGTTTGAGTAAATATAGAATTATGACGAAAATTTTTGTAATGTGAGGCATTACATCATTTTGAAAAGTACTGAACAAGTTCGAACACTGTCACAAAATTTTCGTACTCGAAATGAATCCGATAGGTTCTACTACTACTATTCCTTTTGATATATCTTATGTAGATCATATTGCTAAATGTGAATTTAAGTTAATAGAAAAGATTGTCTTAAAAATTTAACTCTAACTTATTACTTCATGTATATTAATAACTGACCACAAATAAAGTTTTTATTTAACATAAAAAATTCTTTCAGACATCAATAAAATATTTTGTCAAATGTTATTAAATTATTTACTAAACTATTTTTTTTTACAAAATCGAATAAAATTTTGATTTTTGTTCTTAATGATTAAAATCAACATACCCATGCCAAAAATCAATTGTATCATGTCGACCTTCATCAAATACTTTACAACCAACATGTTTTTCTAATTTTAATTCATCAAATATTTCTTGACCAGTTGGTCCTATTCCACAACAAATATCAAGATATTCATCATTTGTACCTGTATGATTAAATGATGATTTATGTAATATAATAACTTGTAAATGACAATCAAGTAATGAATCATAAAGTTTTTGTTTTATTCTTATACATTGTTGATTATTATCATTCTCTTTTCCTATAGGTCTTGATAATGGACAAATACCTAATGGATTCATAAAATCACCATAACAATCAATTTCACATTGAATATTATGTTCTTGTCTATAAATATCAGCTAAACGTTGAGCAACATTCATATTAAAATAAAATAAACTATCTGTATAAACAAATTCATCTTCACCATGACACCATATAGCTTTATGAATTTTCATTTGTTCAATTGTTGGTTTTTGTAAAACACAAATACATTTACGTTTATCAGTTGGATCAAGTACAAAAACACCATGTTGTGTACCAACTGAAAGTGATGATGGATGTGCAAATGCAACAAAATCATCTGTTAATAACCAATTAATATACGTATGTGATTCATCAAATAATTCTATTGTATCTGATGAACATAAAAATACACCTCCATTTGGCATACGAGCAGGAAATAATGAATAAAGAGCTAATTTTATATCAAGTAAATCATATGTTGGCCAACCTGAAAGATAATATATTAAAAAATTATATATAATAGTTGCAGACAATTGTTTTTTTTTTTATATAATAACAAATCTATTTAATATTGATTTAATAGATGCTCAAAAAATGAATATATGATAATATTATAGGTAGTATACCTTCGTTCTAATATATTATATAATATCAGACACTATAGAAAACTCGCTAAATAAATATCAAACTGTTCTTTGCATATTTCTCAAAAAAATTTCATTAAAAAAGAATTTTTTTTTTTAATTACAATACAAAATTTAAATTTTTAATCTTCAAATTCATCCTATGTAATTCTTTTTTTTTTTGTTGTAATCAAAATTTCGTAAGAATATATTTTGAAATTATATTAAATAAAACAAAATAAGAATAGAATTACGTAAGTCATCCTTATATTTATTGTGAATTGCAAGGAATTTTCTCATGACACCTATTATATTTTTTTTTGTATTCCCAATACTATCATTGTGATTTAGCCTTTCTTATTTTACATTTATTATCAACAGGTAATCATGCATAAAAATGAGTCTTTCGTTTTTTTTCTTTCTTTCTCTGTTCAATACTTATCAAATATCTATATCATAATTTTTTTCTGGTTTAAAATATTATTAATAATTTTTTTTTCACACCTTTTGGAATACTCGTTGCAATTTTTCCAAGACAACTTGTTGTTGGTGTCCTTTGTGAATAACCACCAGCATGTATTAATAAAATACGTTTTCTACGTAAAACATCCCAACCATATTGCTGTTCAAGTACATGCATTGCATGCATTGTACTTCCACCATTACCTAAATAATAAAAGAAATATCATCATGAATTGATGACCTTGTCCTTGATGACGATGTCGCTTCTCTTTTTCCTCATTTTTTTTTTTTTACATAACATTAGTTAGTTACGCAAAATTACGTCGTCCATCCATTTAGTAGCAGCAAGTGTTTGACTTTTTTTTTTTCACATTCATTCTATTTCGTAACATGATTATAGGTTCCTTATTAATTACATAATCAAGAACACGATGGATCGCTCATATGAATTACTTTCAAATCTGATGTCTATTGTAAAGATGTTAGTTGAGAATAGTTACATAAAATATGTTATGCCTAACTCAAGTTATCACTAGTCAAATGCTAATAATCGCCATATTATAGTCACTCTATGTGTTGTTACAACATTTCCTTTCTCTTGATTATGTAAAAAAAAAAAGAAAAAGACGAGATGACGCATAGGAACAAGATGAATTTGTTTCTTTCAAATCCATTGAAAATGATCGAAGCGCATGTGTGTGTGTATGTGTCTCTATTATATCATCGTGCTATGCCGAGTTACTTAACATACTCATGTGTGAATGTCTTCTTCTTCTTCTTCTTTTGAAGAAACACAGTCACAATCTAGATGACATAATATCTCTTACCAATCTTGCCAGGATCAGTAATGACAAGATAGTCGACACCAAGTGGTATTCGATTAATTGTTGAACGTTGTTGTATTAAAGTATCATAAGCATCTTTTTGAACATTGTCCAATGTCGTCACAACAACAATATCCCAATAAATGACATCATGTTCTAGATGACGTACATCCCAACCTAGGAACGAAGAAAAAAAAAAGAAAAGAACATGGATGATGAAATCACTATTGACTATTTCGAAATAACTCCTAGAATGTCCTCTAAGAACATAAAGAAATTCATACATAACAAAAAAAAGCACATATGACCTTCAACTATGAATCATCGAAAAGTACCAACTAATAGTTTACAAATTTCTTTTTTTTTTTTTATTTCTAATCTAAGTGCACATGTATGTTCTTTTCTGTCTAGATTATTGTTAATTTTTTTTGTTTTTTTTTCGTACCCAACAAAAATAAGGATAATATGATGATGTTTTACATCGTCATCATTATTGTAAGCATTAACTTTCGAGAAACGAGAATGAGAGAAAGAAAGAAGAAAAAAAAAAGACGATGACGATAGTATTGCGTGTCAAGTTAGTGTTGGTAGTAGTGGTTTTTTTTTCTTTCTTCTTTGCTTTCAACATCGAACGACGTTATTACTCTATATAAATTCATCTATTCTTCGATTTGACGACATACGCATAGGTTACACGTTGCGAAATAAGAAAAAAATCCTTACGACATTGAGACAGACATTACATAGAAAATAATAACCATCGAAGAATTATTCAACTTTCGCAAGATTTAGTAGCTGTGGAACAAAACAAATTATTCTTATATATATATGACTAAAATTTTATATTAATGGCTTTTAATTTATTACAACAATATATTGGTAGCTTAAAATCTTCACAACATTCAAATCAATCAATTTCATCATCTGGATTTTCTAACATTGGCTATTTTGTAAATACATTTATCATTATTAATCGGTATGATGCTCATCTTATATTCTATGTATGTCTGTCTATGCCCTCTTGCCCTCGTCCTTCTTTCTCCTTCTCTCATTAACATGAGTATGTCTAGTCTCGATAGAGTATGATATACATACAGACGCGAAGTAGGTTCTCTTTACTTCAATCGTCAATACACACACACACACATACATATTCAATACCAATGTTTGATTGGCATCAAACATAGAGTGAAAGAAGAAAAAAAAAAACAACGAGAAAGAAGAACGAAGAATAGAGAAAACGTCGTTCTCACTCATCGTCATTCGCTGCGTACGAAGTAGAAGGTCACGAGCCCATATACACATATACGTATATATCCATGTGTGTATGGATTGAAAAACAAGCGAGGCAAAAGCGTACTCACACATACAATGTTAGATGAATATGAATAACTGTTACACTTGAACGATAATAGAAGAGAAAGACGAAAAAAAAAACGAAAAAAATGCTTATTACTTATATACGCACATATCAGAATTATGATTCTCTTTTCAATGACGATTTTGAAATATCCTTGAAAATAGAAAAAAAAAAAAAAGAAAACCTCGACTATTGAACAATAGAAAGAATTTCTTTTTTTTTTTTTCATCAAGCAAAAAAAAAAATTGCGTAAGTCATCTTCTCTAATTCTAGTAAGCGATTGAGCAACCATGCGCCGGGGCTTGGATATGGCTTGCGCAACGATAGTTTGATTTCGCAACAACACCTTCTTTTCTCCCGCGCTCTTTTCTCTTCTTTTCTATATTGTATATATACATACATATCTATTATAAACTAAGATAGGAGAACTATTCATTATTCTAATCAGGTTATTTCTTTATTCTAGTAACATTGCTAGTAAAATTACATCAACACTAACGTCAGATATTATCGAACAATTTTAATTATTTTGTTTTTTCGTTTCTATATATATATATATATTAATTTGAAGTCATTTTTAATAATTATTTTCATCAATAAAATAATGTCTTCACAAACATCACGTCATCAATCATCAGTTAAAACTCATGGTCTTCGTTTTTTAACACAAATTTCTTCATCATCAAATTCTAATCCTTCAACTTCAAATCTACAAATAAATGATCCATCAGGTCCTCTTACACCTGATTCTGTTGTATATGTTAATCCATTTGTAGCAACTAATAATCAATCATTATTACCTAATGTTCGTATAATTGGACAATATGAATTAAGTGAAACAAAATTAGATGATTTTAAATGTGCACGTCATATAATAACAAATGAAATTTATTTATATAAAGAATATCCACTTGATATACTTCGTCAACGTTTAGAACCATATCAACGTCTTACAAAAATATTATTATCAACAATTAAAAATAAACATTTAATTAAATCAATGACAATTGAACAATTAGCTGCTAAATATCATTTACATTTTTTTTTTGATATTTTATCATTAGAACAAACTGCTATTGTTTTATATCCAAATTATACAAATAATTTACATACATATATTACAGAAAAACATCGTCTTAATGAATATGAAACAAAAAATTTATTTACACAAATTGTACATGCTGTACAAATGTGTCATCAAGTTGGTTTAATTATACGTGATTTAAAATTACGAAAAATAATATTTAATAATAATGAACATTCAAATTTATTACTAACAGGTCTTGATGAAGCTATTATGCTTACAAATCCAACAACAACAAATGATTTTGTTTCTTCACGTTTTTCATGTCCGGTGTATGCATGTCCTGAAATCGTTCTTAATAGACAAATGTATTCAGGAAAATTTGCTGATTCATGGAGTCTTGGTAAAATTTGTTTCCTTTTTTTTTTGTAGCAAGAGACATAGATAAATGAGAATAACTTCCGTCGTCCCTTCCCCCCTGCGCTTTTCCTTCAAAACTGATTAATCGTTTTTTAATCGACACTATTTGCAAACTAATTACCTATGAATATTATGATAATTTGAATTCTTAGTTTATTATTGTAGATTTTCTTCTATACGAAAATATAAATAATGTAAAAAAAACTATAGAGGATAGGACACTAATGAAAAAATTTGAAATTCTCATTTAATACTTAACTTTATATAAAATGTTAAGTCGAAATTTAAAAAAGAAAACATTTTTAAGAAAGATCATACCATTGTGAGTTAAAATATGCAATAATAAAGTATGAGTTCGAACTTTTTTTTTTTGCAAAGTATTTATAATTCAGTAGAATTTACATAGTGCAAATAGTTACAATTCATAAGAGAACATTTCTAAGTATTCTTTTTATTTTATGAACATAAAACTTAATAAATTATGTCTACTATGACAAGAGTTCATGTTCATGGTTTTATTTCTCTTTATATGGACAAATTTTCAATTTGAATGTTTAATCCTACAGCTTTAATTCACTAACTAAGTCTTAGTTTCATGACAAACGCACATCTTCGAACGTTCTCTTATCATACGTATGTAAGATTAATAATAATTTTTAGTTGATAAATTTTATTGAGTGTATCATAATTATTCGAGAATTTTTGATATGAAATATTATTATTGATGAATTATAAGAATATATTTTGTTTCTTTTTTTTTTTGAATTAAGAAATAATATTAAATAATTATATTTAGGTATAATATTATATACAATGTTATTTGGTCGTTATCCATTTTGTGATCGAACTCTTGTAGGTTTATTTATTAAAATTGGTCGATGTCGTCCTGATATACCTCGAACAATATCAATTAAAGCACGTTCATTACTTCGTTCTTTAATTCGTGTTAAACCTGATGAACGTCTTCTACCACAAGATATACTTGGACATGTTTGGTTTAATAATACTGATCGTGATATATCAATGAATACATCATTAATAAATGATGAATCATTATTATTTAATAATACTAGTAGTAGCAATAATAATAATTGTACGAATAACAGTAATGAATCAACAATAATAGAAGATGCAGTCGTACCAAATTTTGAATGTGAATAGAAATATGTATAGAATTATTCATTTCTTCAGTCTGTTCTCTCTTTTTTTTTTTTCTATGCTCGTTATACATATATATATATATATATATTTTTCTTTTTTTGGCCAAAGAAAAAAAAAATAAAATAAAAGCAAATTTTATTTCATATACATACCTTTCAATGTTTCATAGAAGATAAGTGCTTGTTGTGATGAAAAATTCATATTTTATGTTATCTGAAATAAAATGAAAAAATAAAACATAGATTCTTTAACTAATCGATTCATATGTACGACGATTAAAATAAGGATGGAATGTATATAATAATGAAATGATAACAATTAAAAAAACACAACCGGATATTAGAATTAGTGATATAGAACGCCATTCTTTCATTAATTGAATTTGTTTTACAGAACATGATGGACATGATGGTTGAGAAGATATTGATAATGATGTATAAAAACACTAAATATAATCGAATTAAAACTAGAATATAATGAAAATATTTTACATTATTAAGTAGTGATATTGCAATATCTTCGATATTCTTTTTAGTTAATTGACGAACTTTTGGATCAAGATCGTATTGAGCAATTTCTTGTATAAGTATATCACGACTGATATTATACCAAGATATCTTAATGAATGAATTATTAAAAACAAAAAAAAATGGTCAATATAAATATTATGAAAGTCAAAAATATGAAATTTATGTAGTTTAATTGGTCTTATTTATTTCTGTATTTCAAACAGAACTTTTATTACTATTGTATGTTTTTCATTTTGTTTAATTAAACATTTATATTATCCTAACCATTGATTTATCTAATAAATTAGTCTGTTATAAATATCGATTATATCTACTTTAGGCCTCAACATAGTTCGATATAAGCAACGTCATCTTGATAATTAAAATAGACTCTGATAGAGCGTTTTAAGACTAATATATCTATTTCAAATTAAAATGCAAGTGAGTATTTTTGGAATCATTTTTGATAGGAACGAGATAGAGAAATCTTCGGTTTTCACCGTTTAAAAGAGAAAATAAAACTGTATTGAAACTTGAATATTATATTTTTATGAAAAATCTTTCGAAAACACGAAATAAAAATGTTAATAACTCGTGATTGATTTAAACTTTTAACATCATAGTGCACTAGTGAATATTCAAATTTTAAAACGTTTACATTGCACAATATTTTATGTTTAAGACACTTCGCGGATTCGTCTGAAAGAATCTGTCAGACGAAATCTAGTTTTCAAGATTCGATACTGTTCAATTCTTTCTTTCAAACAGGTCTCTATCTCGTTCTTATCAAAAATACTAATCCGGACAATAATTGAAGAATCAATTCTGAGAAACTACAATTCATGATTTTTATACTGATTATATGTTTAACAAGCGAAATCGTTCGATTGATGAATTACTTTCGAGTCGAGACTATATGCATTATATAGACTCTAATGACCTATGAATACCTTAATAAGAGCTCGTGTTCTTAGCTGAGTACTTTAAAGATATTGGATTTTTAAGGTATTTTTTTTTAAATGAAATACCAAGCTCTCATCTTCAAGAATACTAGTTTTCGATTTGAAACTTTTCATAGAGATAAGGATTAACGAATCTTATACTTGTTGCTATCCTTCAATACAATTATTGATAATTATATTAGTCTATTCTTGTTAATGTCTGTCTCAATACAAAGTTTCAAAATCGAAATTCGAAAACTAATTCTTCATAACATTCAAATAAAACACATCGTAAAATGTGCAGTATCTTGATAAATGAACTCTTTTTCGAATATTCATCTTGACTTAAAACTGATTCATCAGTTGTAGAACTTTCCTTTTTTTTTTATTTTCAATAATTTCTCTCTTCTTCTTCTTTCTTACTTTATCTGAAGAAAGTTATAAATCGTTTCTTTAAAAAAAAATCTTAATGTGAATTCCACAAAAACAAAAAAATGGATAATTTTCTATTCAACTAACTTGATTATTATTTATTTGACGAAGATTTAGTATAACTTCACAATAATCAATCATAGCTGTTGATAAACCATAAGTAAATCCATCTGTAGTTATTTTCCAACAATCGATTGAACCGTGTTTACTATCACATGTACGTCTAATAATAATTAAAAATAATTGAAATTTCAAAATTAAACGATGAAGAAAAAAACAAAATTTGTAACAAATATATTAAATAATAATTTATACTATGTTTTTTAATACAAAAAAACTTCCAATAAGAGTTACACATATATAAAATATTTCTTTAAGGTTTATCCATTGAAATTACTTTGCATTGTAATCAAAATATTTCAATGTAAAAAATCTTTATATTCTTTAGAAAAGATTTCAATCGAATAACTCAATAATTTCTTTTTTTTTATTATAAAAAAATATGTTCGATTATTTCTTTGATGAATTTTATCGTTATAAACTAATCTTAAATTCAATTTATCGGAAAGACATTTACCAACATTAGAAATAGATTGAATTTCTTTATTTTCGAAATTTACTAGAATATCTTGTCATAATTATCATCTATCAATAATTTAATATTAGAATTCTACATTTCAAAACAAGTAATTAATTTATATTAAAAAAAAAAAAAGAAACAAGGATTAACCATGACCTTTTCCTTGTAAAGATGAATAATACAAAGTTTTAAATGTCAAAAGATTATCATTATTTGCATAAATGATACTTCTATTGTAATTTTAAATTTCGATTAATAGATTATCTAATTCTATTAAAATAATGAAAAAAAAAAATTATTTTTTTAAAAATTTCAAAAGAAAAATAATTTAACTTATTCAAACGGAGAACAATAGTGTAAACAGAAAAAAGTTTTAGAGTACGCGCTCAACTCCTTGATCGCATCTGTTTAATAGAACGGAAGCTGAAAGCCTGTTCTAAGCCACCGTCTGGTTACACCATTGATATAAACATAAACAAGAGCTATAGAGTAATAATAAGAACAATCGCGTATATACATTACTACTTTAAATTATAAGAGTAAGGTAATATTGATTTTTTTATGGAACTCTCATATGTTTTCGAAGAAAATAGTGAGTGTAAGTTTTCAGTTCGAGATTGGCGGCTCCTCCCACCCCATTACAGACACATAGCAACAGGAAAGACAACATTACAGACATACCCATCATTACAGACACCACCTCCCATTACAGACATGGGCAACCGCGCATAGAAGGTTTTCGATTATATATAATATATCAATGCTTTAATAAATACTTGAAAGAAAGCTATTTCGCAGTTTAAAAATCAGGCATCAGGATAACAAGTTTCAAAGATATACGTGAGTTCTACATTTCAGCTCTTCTGGAGCTGCGCTAACAAGCTTTTTTCTATGACATTGAGTACGTAACATAATTCGAATAGCCAATAGAGTACTTCTATTACATACAAACTTTCATAGTAGGACTATCGAAGGATTTTTGTTTCTATAGTATTATCTAGAAGAGCGTTAAATTCTGAACGATATATGAAGTCGTCACAATTTTTACTTACTTCCATCATGTAAGCTCCGTCAAAAACATCGCTGAAAAATGCTTTTTTTTTATGATACGTATAACTGAATTGAAGAAGATTGTACAAAAAAAAACAAACAAAGCGCGATGAGTTCGTATACTGTTCAGAATTTTATACTCTTCTAGATCGTACTATTAAAAATAAACTTCTACATAGTCCAACTATCAGAGGTAATTCTTATTTGGATTGAATGTTACATACTCAACATCAAAAAAACATTAATATTATAATTTTATGCAGTAGTATATATATATGTGTATGTGTAATTGCATAATGTACTATACTATAGAGAGAAAGGTAACTAATCATAAGTAGCGAATGAGAAAGAATGTAACAATAATGAAAATTCCAACACATATAAAAATAATGATAAGAGTTAATGAACAGCAAATCACATAGTTAAAATATGTATTTCTTAAATTATTTTTTCTTACTTGCATTTTTTTGCAAATAAATCTCGTTCACCATATACAATAGATATAAAATAAATGAATATATAAAAAACACCATTAATATCATACATCATAAATCTATAATAATAATAATAAAGATATCAATCAGAAATATTTTTTTTAATAATAAAATAAATCAAGTTCAGATCATCAGCAACAACAAAAAACAAAGTGAAAATATATTTATTTTATCATTTAATTAGTATTAGTACTAAATTCTAGGAGCAGAAGAAGAATTTATAAGAAGATCGTTGTGTTGAACAATTACTATAGGTTTTGATTTACGTGCTTGAATAGATTGTACGATACAGATGATTAGTACTAAACTAGCTATAGCAATACTAATTATAAAAAGTACCATATAATTACGTATATCTGTAGAACATGTAGATGTTGCACATGATAATGATGGAAGTTCACGAGGTGATTTAGTTGCATTTAATATTAAATTTTGACACTAGAAAAAAAGAAAAGAATTAAACTAAAAATTAAATAATTCATATTTTATCTTACGAAATTAAGAAGAATTTGTTTTGTTTCTATAAATAAACTTATATTTAATTTAACATTTAATGTTTCATTTAATAAATTATTTTCAAATGATTCATCAATAAATTCGATACTATTGTTTAACTTAAAGAAAAAAACTTAAAAAAAAAATATATATCTTTGAAAATTAATATACTTCTTTTGAATGATTTCGTTGAAAACTATCAATATAAACAGATAGACTACTAAATGAAAAAATTCGTTGAATTAATTCTGATGAACGATAATTTAAAGCTTGTCGCCAACATTCATTATCAATAGTACCATTATATGAACAATTTGTTCTATGAAATAATCATTGTAAAAAAAAAAAAAAAGGAAAGAAATCAAATAAAAATCTATTTTAATTAATTAAACCTGCATGATAAATATTCACAACAATATTTTGAAATATATAAAAGTATAATTAGATATATAAATATAGTTTTCATTGTTAATATATTGAAGAATAATATTAATTCCTATTCACCTTGGTGAATATATATATATATAGCATAGTTAAATAGAATAAGGTAAAATATGGAAACAAATGGATTAATACGATGTCGTCCTTTTACAATTATTCTATAATATATATAGAGAATATTATTTATTGAGAGTTTTTCTTTTTTAATCTTTAGAAAAGATTTTATAATTTAATTTAATTTTGTTTATCTTTAAGAATTATTTATTTCGCTATAATCAATTGTCTTTATTTAATAAGCTATTATATATATATATATCCTCCGTTTAATATCTTAAAATAAAAGACATATGTCTACTTTGGATTATCATTCTTTTTTTTTTTTTTTGAAATTTAAATAATCGGAATGATCATAATAAGAAAATAAAATATCGTATTTATATTTCGATTAGAAAAATATTATTATTTGAGTGTTATTTTCAATACACATGAAATAGATAAGAATATATTGGAGATAGAGCCAAATGTTAAGATTATCTAAGCGTCACTAACGAGGGAACTACCCGAGGTGTCAAAAAGCTTTTGAGCTGAAATTTTGCCCACAAGTAGGGGATACATAGACTAGAAAAAGTCTAAAAGGATATGGGTTCAAGTTGGAATTTGACTGAGATATTGATTATTTACCATAATTTTTCTATAGTACCTTACTTGTCCGATAAAACCAAAGTTTTGAATTTACGCCTGAAACTTTGTCCACACTAAGGCCCCAATCAGACAAGCTCGCCTACAAAGTTTCAGAACTTTTGGATAGATTATCTCCGAGATATGAATCTGCCAAAATATCTATGTGAAACATTATATCCATAAAAAAGCGTCCTGAAACTTTGTAGGCAAGCTTGTCTGATTGGGGCCTTGGTGTGGACAAAGTTTCAGGCCTAAATTCAAAACTTTGGTTTTATCGGACAAGTAGGATCCTGTAGGAAAATTATGGTAAATAGTCGATATCTCAGTCAAATACCAACTTGGGCCCATATTCTTTTAGGCTTTTTCTAGTCTATGCATCCCCTACTTGCGGGCAAAATTTCAGCTCAAAAGCTTTTTGACACTTCGGGTAGTTCCCTCGTAAGAGTAGTAGTCGACCCTTGTTACGAGGATTCATGAATCAAAACAAAACAAAAATCGCTCACTTTTGCTGATTATCCTATGTTTGGGGGACATCTGAGAAAAAATATTTTGAGAATGAACGCTGTTATGACGCTCAATCTATTTAGTAGATTATCTTATTTTTATAAGAATTTTGACTTTCTATATGTGAATTATATTAGATTATAGATGTAGATATTATTTGTTTATTATGAAAGTATGCGCATCACCTCCCGTTTATGAAGAATGTCTCATCAGAAAAATTTGAAATTTTCAGAAATCTTGACGAGTAAAGCAAATTTTGTCATTCCGGATAGTGTCTTGTCTTCTATGACATTACATGGTGACATGTGACCTCGGTGTTTCTTCAAGAAATTTTTGGTCTCATATTCTGACTAAAAAAATAGAGCGTGATGAGTTCTAATAGCAAACATCAATTAAGACTTGATCAGCCGTTACGCAAACAAAGATCAACATAGATTTCTTTTTCTGTTTCTTCGAACGAGGATATTTCAGCAATAACAAAAGAAATCTCGTAGTGTTTGATTCTTGATTACAAAAACTCAGCGCTGCTTCTGCCATCGATAAAAATTTCATACCAAATGCTTATAGTTTCTGTGATTGTAATTTCAAAGATTTACTTGCAATTCTCTTTATGGATTTATGTACTATAATCAAATATTTCCTGGAAATTTCATGACTATATTCATTCGAACAGTAAAGATCGTTCTGGATAATAGAATTATGATAGATCGGTGTTTTCTATCTACAAGACAGTATAGACATGTAAAGCTTCATTTGCTAATAAAATGATTGATATTAACACTTCAAAACAATAACAAAAATAATCAAGTGTTAAACACGAAGATTTTTGAGGTTCAAAGACAAAATGATACTTTTTCGTTTGAACTCCATACATAAAAGTAGATCGATCTAATATTTCCAATTTGAATTAATCAAGCTTTGTTTGTAGTAAAATACATCCAACACAAAAATTCAAATTTAGATACTTTTTACTTGATAATCGAACTTTCATCAAATAAAGAATATACAATTAATAAATTTTAATCAAGATCAAATTCAAAAAATTCATTTATTAAATCGTAACTGACATAAAAAAAAAAAAAGAAAAGTAATAATTACTTTATTCTATATCAAAAAAAAAAAAAAAACATAAATCAATTTCAAAATGAAACAACCACTTTTTGACAAAAATCACATATAGATTCTAAAGTATTTTCTGATGTTTTTGCACGGCAATTGGGTAAAAAATAAAAGAAAACATCATATTCATCAAGATTTGTGTCTGTCATATTCTTAATGTATCAACAAGATTTAATGAATATATATATATATATACATATTTATAACATAGATGTATTCAGAAAACTTGATAAGACTTATCATACAAACAGTATCTTTTTGATAGAATAAATTAATTATAGTAATTCTAGCAAAAAACAAAATGAATAATTATATATGAATATCAATATTGATTAATATAAATAATCGTATTACAAAAATAAGAAAATGATAATCAGTTTTTTATATGATTTATTAACAGATAAATCATCATTGAAGAAAACTACCAATTTTATTATTATTTTAGTATTATATGCAATCTTTTGTATAGTAAATTTCGATAGAATTGAATTTGATTTGTTTTTTTTCAAGATTAATATCGAAAATCTAACATTAAATTCAACAGTAATTAGACACCATGAATCTTATATATTTGTTTTTACAAGCTCATATGACAATGATACTTGAATTAAAGTAGAAAATTATCTTAATAAGAACATATAGGAAAGTTATGTAAACTAAAATGAGCTGTTCAGATGAAATATTTGTTTTTCATTTTCTATTCCAAAAAAATATTGAAGATTTTTTTTTTCTCAAAAAAATAACAGGCAAATTGTGTATATGATGATACTCGAAGTAGGTACAACCAATTAGATTGAAGTTTTTACCATAGATACAGTACATAGAATAAGAAGATATGTATTCGAAGAAAAGAATTTTATCCGGAATGTATCTTAGTACATTCCAGCCGTTTTATATGAGAAAAAATACGTAACAAGTTTAAAGGCAAAATCAATTTGCTGACTTTCAGAATTTTATGAAATTTGAATAGGAAAATCAAAAATGAAAATGGTTGAATTTTTTTGATTCTAGAAAATATTTTTTAAATATCTGTTGTAAAAATTTTAACTCAATTTGACCAAGATATGAAAAGTTTGTAAGCAGCCAAGATTGAGACGAACTTTTATTTTACTTTATACTAAGTAAAAGAAAACAATTTCAATATGATTATGATGAAAAAAAAAAAATATTTCTTAAATTCTATAATAATGAACTATTTAGAATTCAATGATATTTGATCATTATGAAAACTTTTATTCATGACCATGAATGATTAATAATTCTCTGCTGATAGAAATGTTAGAATAGTTGATGTACATTCTTATGTTAATAGAACATTAAATTGATTTGATATAGAATGATTAGATTTATTTTAGATCAAAACAAAAATTATGGTAACAATACTAAAAATACTTTATTTTTTGATGTAACAATCGAATGATTATATATAAAACAAAATAAAAAAAAGAGAAGTTTATTATCCATACATAAATAATTAGTGTATTATAGTTAACAAACTTCTGTTCTTTTTTCTCATGAATTATCTTGTAATCTTAGTAAACTGATAAATTATTATGCTTGATTGAATAGATCTCTCAAGGCATTTTCTAATTGATAGGTTTTTTTTTCTTGTATTGAATGAATAAACTAAAATAAAAATTTAGAAAAAAAAAAATATTCTAATAATTATATATCGAGCTATTTAATAATTTGAATAAGATGATAGTTAGTTTTTATCTTATTATTAATATAAAAAAACAATACACTGACATCAAGAATGATGTAATATAAATGTCAGTAGAATAATAAACGTCATGAGTTATTGATTGTTAATAACATATTAAGAGTATTTGTTTTGAAGGTCTAATTACATAAGTGATATAATTTAAATAGAATCATATTGTAAAAATAATTTTGTTAATTTCAAAGAAAAAAAATTTATCAATTATTAGTGAATAACATCTGCAAGAAAATTCTTCTTCATATAGTTAACTAATATATTTATTTATTTGTAGAAAAACAAAAACTTGCTATTACAATATCTTTCGGGTGACAATATGGAACTAACATGTGTAGTTTTACCCCTTATTATATACTAATACATGAAAAATACCTCCAATCCTTTCGTAATTCAAAATTTTGTTATTATTATTGTATAAATTGATATAGTTATCTATTTACTGAGCATTGAAGAATTTTTTTTAAACGTTAAAAAGAAAATCAAATTAGAGAAAACTATACATTATCATGCGTTTTTCATAAAAAACAAAAGCCTATGCTTCTTCAATTGAGCATAACCTTGCGAAGAAACGATAGGACTATTTTTCATCATGATACTTTCAGTATGTTACAGAAAATAGTATTCACAATGATAAATTTTGCTCTACTTGTTATGATTCATTCTCTAGAAAAAAAAAAAAAACGTGAATCTAAATGAAAGATTTCTAATAGACTATAATTATTTTCCTAGAATAATCAATCAATTATCAGAAAACTAATATATTTTATTTATTTATTATTTGTTTTTTTTTTATATTTCATTACTCTTAATTTAACATTATTATTTAAATCATTGATTTAACTTGCAAATCACTTTATTGTATATATCTATTAGATTTACAACAGGCTTCAATACACAATCAAGTACTTCAATAAGTTTTCAAACATTTTCTATTGATTATTTTCAAAAGTTATCACTTGATCAATTTACGTTTGTTTTATTTTTTTTACTGATTATATGATGACTGCAACAAATCAATGCATCACTATTTTGATTACCCTTGATATATGTTTTTATATGTGCGTAAAAATGAAAAATTATATCGTATTCAATGTAGTAATGATACAAAACATATATCAAGCATTTTAATTTCAAGGACAATATTGATATATTCTAGAATATATCAAAATCTTTTTTATTAATGATATTTAACATGTAAAACTTGAATTTTTATAATTTAAGTTTATTATAGTTTTCTTTTGAGAAAAATTTTTATAAAAATGGATAAAAGTTTGTTTATTTTACTTTTTCAATATATGAAATATTCATTATTATATATGTGTCCTTGATTGTTGAATAACGAATGTCTGAACATAAGTTGTTACTATTTACTTAAACAATGTCTATTTTAGTTTATACTTTCTTTTTTTTTGTTTAAATTTACACTCTTGAAAATCTACCATTTGCATATTTCAATGTCAGAATAAAAAATTTCATTTTTATATCAGAGTACTTTTTTTTTTAAATTTAATAAAATAATATAAAATCAAAATGATATTTGTTTTTTTTCTAATCATTCCTTGACAACCTAACTAAGCGATGATTACATAACTGAAGTTCATTGTTTTCTTTTTTTTTGGGGTTGTCATCATAAATATAATCACTAAAAGTGTTTCAACAATAATAATAAGAAATACAGAACACAGACAGATTGAGATTGAGCTTGATTTAATTGTCATCTGTTGTATTGCATATATTACTGTGAATATAAAAGATAATCTTTCAATTCATTGACCGTGATTTGTGTCATATTAAAGATTCAATATATATGAACGAATAAAATATAGAAAGGAGAAGAGAGAAGCGGTCAATTCAAGCTTTGATCCTCTTTTTTCAATATACAATATACGGGACACTCGAGTAATCAAAAAAAAAAAAAAGAAGAAGAAATGAATGTATGAAATGCCAAAAAAACAGAACATTGAAGAAAATGGTGACGAAAGAGGAACACAGAGAAAGAGAAAAAGATTTGAGTCAATCGAAACCACAATGAAATGACGATGGCAGCATTTGCTCATTCAAATCATTTGTTTTTCTTGTCTCTCTTTAAAGAAAGAAGAGAAAGAGACATCGAGAGAGAGTGAGTGCCAATACACGTGTTTACCTGACAGACCAACGTTAAAAAAAAAGAAAGCTCAGGTCATTGTTTGCATTCATCATTCAGAGTATACATACGGACAGGTAAATTAATAATTTATGATTATTATTCTTTTTTTACTTTATTTACGAACATATATATACATAGAAAAATTTTTTCAGTATTGTTACAAACTAAATAAGAAAAAGAAGAAGAGAGATCTGTTAACTATACATTAAATAAAGCAAAAAAAAAAAAAGGGTAACAGCTGTAAATGAAGAGTTATAGCAATTTTGTCTCTCTCACTCTCTCTTTCTTTTTTTTTTTATTTCTTGACACTTTTGCTTATCTTTACTTTTCAAGGTAAACCAACAATATTCATCATGTATTTCAAAAGTTTTTAAGTATAGGTATAAGTGATCTGATTTTTTTTTTTTTTTACCATAATGGTAATCAAATACAAGGCTACTCTTTCATTACATTTTAACAATTTAAATATCTCATCAGTTTAACTTGGTTAATAATAAGTCAAAAGAAAATAAACATACAAAAAAAAAGTCGCTGATCAATTTCTTCATTTTTAAATCTCATATTTCATTTTATATGCAATTTTGTTCAAGTCAGACTCTTCTCTTATTTCATTCATAAAAGGTATTTCGACTTTTTTCTTTCTGTTCTGTTCTACCTTACTTATCAACAAACTATATTACTCTCAATTCTGCTTCTTCTATTAGCATTATCTTATTTGATAAACTCTTGAATAAAGTCACTTATATATTGCCTGAAAATATTGAACATAGTAAAACAAAAAAAAAAAAAGAAACGAAGTATTGCTTATAATGTTAGTTCAATCCTTTAGAAAAATAAATGACAGTACAATGATTTGTACTTGTATATATTCTTACGTCATATATATATATATGTGTGCTTTTGCATCTTCTTGTTTTATCGTCTATTGTAAAGATGTTTTTAGTCATGTTGTTATTTGCAGTTGAAGAACTTGTATGTATAGTTCGGATCGAAAGATTACGCAAATATCGTCTATAACTTATTTACTTGAGAGTATAAGCACGTATGAATAAAAGAAAAATGAGAGAAAAAGCTTAACGCTTGATCGCAAATACCAATAGGTACTACAACGAATAATTTTGTATACGAAACATGAATAGAAAAGAATCATGACACATATATATATACATCTGTAGTGTTCAAATATTGAAGTTGTCTTAAACTTGTTAAATTAACATTTTATTCATAGATACAATTGTATATCTCAAAATTGAAAAAGATTTAATAAAGATCAAAGACAAATGATTAGTAAATGAATTACATTACAGAGGTTTCGACAATGAATTTGTTTTTTAGTTAGTTTGTTTCATTTCAATATCCTCATATGAAATCAGACTTACTTTGTCATATGGAATACCTAACGAAGAAAAATAAAAAGGAGAACTTTTTTTTTTTGTACAATTGAGTTTATGCTGTTTTCAATCTTTCAAATAAAAAAAGAAAAACTCGGCTGGAATTAAATCATTGAGACGAAGGTAAAGAAACCGATAAAAGCCTATCTATGTGTTTTCATTTAACAAACAAATACAACTACTAGACGTATTTGTTAAGTTTATTATCAATAGTTACTAATACTACCGTCGACTTTTTTTCTTTTTATGCATTTTATTACAGGTATTATCATACTAAATAGAAAAAGAAGAAAAAAAACGATTTACATTCAATGAACATTTCTCTTAATGTCGACTAATCTTTCTCAACGATATAGTTCACCTGATACTACTATTTTTGCAATGTCAAATGTTAATGATGATGACGTACAACAATTTCAACAGATTATACGAGATCGACGAGGTACAGTCATTTCTTTTTTTTTTATTTATGTGTTGATTTATTAATTCAATTAGATCAATAAGATTTTGTTTTTTATACCTACTTTTCTCGTTTGTACTGATGTAATAATTGTTCTCTAGTGACCTTGGATGACAGAAGGCCAATTGTTTTGTCATCCCATCATCGTACAGTTTTTCTTGTTCATTGCTTTACTGCCTATATATTCTATGTCCTTGCAATGTTTTTCTTTAAGTGTCTTATATATAAGATGATGTTATACTAATACTATCGAGTCGATAAGCATAAAAAAAAGAAGAAGATGTTCTCGTAACGTACATAGTTCAGGAAAGCGAAAAAAAAGGAGAATAGAGCGATGATAGGAATAAGGTTCGATGTTGTTGGGGTATACGGCGAGACAGTCAGAAGGCATAAATATTGCATAGAACGCATAAAAGTATGCAAGCATATTTCTAACTTTTCCTGAAACATGTATACAGAAAGAAAACAGAAGAAAATAATTATTCCATAAGAATATACTCAATAAAAACAAAAAACAACTTAAATATTAGAATTATGTTTTATTAATTAATTTTCGCTCAGGATTATTAATCGAATGAGTATAAATTAATTTTTATTCGTCAGATGATTGATTATAGTAATGATGGAGTTATAAATAATTTCTCACAGTTCTTTAGCGACGTAAGAAAAAAAGGTATAGAACAATATTAATAATAAAACTTAGACTGTTCTAGAACATTCAAAAGCCTTTCTCGATATTTGAATGCCTGATATATAGAGACCTGCATGAAACTTTGAACTTCGATTTCGACCCGGAGTGGACGATGAGTAAAAATTTTGTTCCTCTTCCCTCCGGTCGTTACTTGCGACACTGAGGAAACTTTTAGAGTTTAGAACTTCAGAGTCAAAATCGAAGTTAAAAAACTTTGACTTCGCAGGTCTCTACTGATATACATTTATGTTATTGTTCTAAATAGTGCAATTTTTGTCATTTTTTCGCATATAAAAATATATTTCAAGGATAATAGTTAATGATATATTGCTCTGTAGAAAGTATCATATGTGATTAACATTAAAAAGCGTGAACTGATCAAGCGATAACTTTGTAAAATAGTCAATATTAATGTTTGTGAGTTGATTGAAATTTATAATAATATGGTGAAATCTTTTTTATTAAATCAATGGTTAGAATAATAATAATGTTATATTAAGAAAGAAAGAAATAAGACAGATTATTTATACTTGGAAAACAATAATAGTTTGCTCGAGACTTTTTATTCTACGTATTTCGTATTAGAACATTGATGTTGAAGAGAGCACTTTCAATACCACAAAAAATTGTCATCTATATAGAAAAGTGTTTCATTTAGATAATAAGAATACTCTTGTTTTACATGTTCTTTCATTAAACAAAAATAGAACAAGAATTTGATTATAATAAAGCTTCTTCATGAATATTGAGATGTCCAATCACAAAAGTATAAACCAAGACAAAAAAACGAAAAGAAAAATTAAGTTTTAATCAAAAATATCATGTCGTTTATGAACAAACAAACCTCGAGCTATCGTCTCTTATATTTCGTTTTTTTTCTGACGAAAATTACCTTTTTTTCTGATGAAAAGAGAAAATTATTTCAGACGATCTTATGTCTTTTATGGATAATTCCAAGCAGCGAGAGAGAGAGAGAGAGAAGAAAAAGAAGCAACATCTTTGAGGCCATACAGATAGGCAACAGTAAGAATCGTGCCACCATCCAATCTTCGTCACTGCTGTTGTTATTATTATTATCATCATCATCATCATCATCGTCGTCGTTGTCTTCGACCTCTTTTTCTATGTTTGAGAGAGAAAGAAAGTGGGCGGGCAATCAACATATTATTGATTAGAACTCATCGATCACTTGACCATTGTTATACCAATCTTCACTCAATATCAGACAAGAAAATATTTAGTCAATAATGTCATCAATCGATATAGATGAACCATTTAATCCTATTGATGATGATCCAATATGTAAGTTTCATACAATTCTTAATGATTGATTTTTCATCAAAAATAATATGATTTGATCATGTAACAAAATAAGTATTAAAATAATCGAATATTTGTTAATCAATATATCTTTCATATCTTATTTGGTTGAATAGATTTATATTATTTTGCCAATGGCAAAAAAAGAAAAAAAAAACATGAATATCTATTTAAGAGTAAGGTTTATAATTAAGTAAACCTATCAATAAGAGAAAAAGAAAAACATTAATTATCTTGCAATATTAAATATATATTTGCTAGTTCCTTTTTTTTTTTCTTCTATTTTGAATAAATATTATGAAAAAATTAGTCACTACTGATGCATTTGATATATGAGTACAGTAAGCAAGTTACTATCTTGGTCTCCTACTGTCTCATAGTGGGAGAGAAAAAAAACGGAAGAGTGACAAGCCATTCGTCTTATATATCATTTTTTTTCTTTTTTTTATATCTATGCATTTCAAAAAATAAATTAACACCCGTATATATATATATGTATGTATTTACCAAATCATGATGATGATAGTGATACGATTGATCGATTTACTAATGTCCATTACAAAAATATATTACAGTAATCTGTGTTAAAATAGAAAGAAAAAAAAAACCTCATTATTCACCCATTGATCTGGCCATTTGCCAAAGACGAAGAGAAAAAAAAAAAATTTCTTTAGGTTTTTCTTTTTTTTTTTTTTTCTTTTTGACGTTTTCGTTCGATAGTATATATGTGAGCTTCATCGATTTCGTTGTTATTATCAGTAATCAACGAATTGAAGTTAGTAATTTTGACATAATATCTATTGATGTGTTCATACATTCATATATTTTTATATATAGACAGTCTGTTTACGTAAAAATTTTTTCTTCGCTCATTCAAATGCATATATTAAATCATGGTCGCATCTTTTCTCTCTATATGTGAACTTAAGAACTGTTGAGCTGTGTCAAATTAAACGAAATCATTCGTTCGTTTCTTTCTCTTTTTTTTTTGCTATCATATCAAACTCACATTATATATTACACATACGTATATATATACATAAATATATACATTTTATCAAATATCGCGTTTGTACAATAATCACAGATTATATTTATTTCTTTTGGTACAAAATTAAAATTTTTTATTCCAAAACAAAAAAAAAGAATAACAGAAAAAGAAAAACCAAATTATATTGTAAATGGTGTCGACTCGAAGTTCTTTTGTAGACGAACGTGAAGATATTCAAAAGAAAGCATTTACAAAATGGATTAATAATCAATTAGTTAATGTAAGTTAATTTATTAAATATTTATAAATAATATTTTTAATAAAAATATATTTAGTCAAATTCAATATTACCTATTACAAATTTATTTCAAGATTTACGTGATGGTGTTGTTTTACTTCGATTACTTGAAGTACTTACTGGAAATGAATATGTATGTTATACAAAAAAAAAGAAAACTATCATTTATTTTTTGTTTGTCTCTATATAGAAAAGAGAAATTGGTAAAATGCGTGTACATCATATTGGTAATGTGAATAAAGTAATATCTGTACTTGGAGAATATGGAGTAAGATAAAATATCATTTTGACATTGAATTTAAAAAACAAAAATGTTAATTTTTTTTTCTTCTTTTGTTTAATATAGATTAAACTTCTTAGTATTTCATCAAATGATATTGTTGATGGAAATCCAAAACTAACACTTGCACTTATATGGTCAATAATTCAATATTGGCAAGGAAAAGATGTATTAAAATCTGTTATACCTAATCCACAACAAACAAATGTTGAAAAATTTCTTCTTTCATGGTGTCAACAAACAACAAAAGGGTTTGAAGACGATGAAAAACAAAAACTTTTTAAATAATTTTTTTTTTTTTTTTGTATAAATTTTATTTTAGATATAAAGGTGTAACAATTAAAGATTTTACAAGTAGTTGGCAAGATGGTCTTGCTTTTAATGCACTTATACATAAATTTCGTCCTGATCTATTTGATTATGAAGATATATTACAACATACAGCAGCTCGAAATCTTGAACATGCATTTACTATGGCTAAAAATATCTTCAAAATTGATCGATATCTTGATGTTGAAGGTTCGTACAAATCGATTTCTATAATTATTTTTCTTTTTTTTTGTGAAAAGTAATTACATATAATCTTTATTGCCAGATGATAAGAGAAATGAGCTATAAATATAAATAAAGGTCTTCGACACATACAATAACGAAGAAAACAACAAAAAAAAAAAAAATTTAAATAATGTAACTAATGACATATATATATGATAGTACGAAAATATGAATAGAAATATAAATCGATTGAAGTTAAACTAGTTAAGATTAGATTTATTTTGAATATATCTGATGAATAGTCTTTTTTTTGAAATACCGAAAATCGCCTTAAATTATGTTTAAAAAATAGATTCTCTAACATAATATTTATCATTAACTTTTTTTTTTTCGAAGTAAAATCAATCATATTTATATGATGAATTTATAATTGTAAGATAATATTACTAAATTTTCTTTCTTTTATTACTATTGTCTAGACATTGTCAAAATGACATATTTTATGGAATGTATTTGAGGACATGACAATTTGCGGTTAAATGTACTCTTGTACTACTAAAAAGAGAAAAGGTTAAAAAAAAAAAAGGAAAAAATTCTTCTCTTCAATGATTAAGTATCATAATAGCCTTTCATTGTATGTAGAATAGTAGAATAAATTCGACAAGAATAACTTGTTAACAGATAATCATTTTATCTAATAAACTAAAAGAAGAATAACCTTGACTTTCTGCTACCTTATGATATGAGCAGAAGATTCAATAGGTCGATAACATCTCTACAATTATTCATAGTTGTAGCTTCAAATAGAAGACTGACCTGATGCAGAATTCTTGTGCCAATCAAACATAAGAACAGGTGTATATCACAATATAATGAGTATATTATCAGATGGATGATCCGACACAAGTTGCGGTTAGTAGTTTGTCCAAAGTTATGCTATTGCGGTTTACATATAGTACCTTGTGACTACATGCCGAACAACATAGCCCCTCAGCTTGAATAATAGTTTGCAGGAAAACAATGTAATCTTGTACTCCGAAAATATTATTTTTATAATGAAACTTAGATTAAATATATAAAAATTGAAATATTCTAAAAGTATTGAATCTTAATAAAATTTTTGATTTTGGTTTCGCACTTAGCAATACATATATTATCGAAAAATACGATATCATTTTTCTAGTAGTATCAATGTGCTTGAGACATCATCCATGACTTCTAATATCCTCTCTTTTAAAGATTCACTAATCTGTGTATTTATATGTTCAACAACTTTGTTGTTAAAGAAAAAAACTATGCCAACTAAAATCAAAAAATATTGTTTAATTCTTTACCTTTTATAACGATTTAAGAAGAATTACTAATAAGATAATTTTATTGATAAACTGTTAGCCTGTCTAATATGCTAATGATGTGATTTGATCCACTGAGTGCCTATATTTTTGATTAGTCCAATCACTGCATGATAGAGAAAAGGGACTTAACAATATATTAAACCTTGATTTTTGTTTTTTTCTTTGACCTCATTATTGTTCGGGCAAAAGTAACATCAATCTCATCTTATTGTAGTAATAGAAGAAAAAAAAAAAGAAGGCGGAAGTGAACCGATAAAAGAATACATGTGTTTTTGACATATCTTATTAAACAAATATCTACTTTGCTTAGAGCGATTTTATCACCTTTGAAGATACTCAATTGATGATAAATGCTATTTCACTTTTGCATCAGTTAAGATTTATAACACATAGATTATCTTTGTTCTTAAAGACTCACTAAGTAGTACTCCATATTGTCCGATACGAATTATCTTCCTATAATGAAACTTTCGAAATATATCTAATTTATTAGTAGATTTCTTTATCAATTTATATAACATAAAAAATTTTGAAGTATCTCTATTAAATATATATTCTTTTTATCAGTTGATATAAAATTTACTAGAAAACATGTTTTTTCGATATCTTATGTTTTCTTTATTTTACGATAAATAATTATTCCTATGATTTTAATCATATCTATGTATATAGTTATTATATTTTTAAAATATATATCAACAAAACGATGTATATTTATATTATAGATGTTTTGTCTGAATATCCGGATAAAAAGTCAATATTGATGTATATTATGTGTCTTTTTCAACAAATGCCAACAAATAATATTGTTATTGAAGATTCTGAAAAAAATGGATCATTCACATCGATGAGATCTACAAGTTATGATAAACGTAATTCAATGGAGCCAAAAGTATAATAAAAAAAAAAACAAATAACATTACAATTATCTATTTTTTTTTTTTTTAATTTTATTAGTCTCCATCTCCATCTATAAGAAGTATATCAACAGTAAATACACCACCAACTCCAATAACTAGTATACGTAATCCATTAAAATCAACTTTATTAACATCATATCAAACAAATATGGAAAGAGTTGTTCGTTGGATTGGTAAATTAGAAGATGAACTTGATAGACAAGATAAAATTGTTACAAATGATCTTAAAATTGTTAAAGAACAATTTCAAAAACATGAAGTAAATAAATAAAAATAGAAAAATTAATTATTTCAATATTGATGGTGTTGTTTTTTCTTTTTAAATATAGGATTTTATGATAAATTTAACTAAAGATCAAAATCAAATTGGTCAAGTACTTGAAGAAAGTAATCGTTTATTAACATCAACAGATATTGATTTACAACCACGAGAAGAAAATGAAATAAAAGAACAAAGAAAAATTCTTAATCGTCAATGGGAATCATTACGTGCAAAAGCACTTGAACGACAATCTAAGTAAGAAAATTATATTGAAATTCATTTAATAATTATTGTTTTTCGAATAATTTTTCATAGAAAAACCATAGAAATTTGCATTCAAACCAAGATTGACATTGCTAGATTGTTCTGTTCGAGAATTTGTAAAACTTTTCTTAAGACCCACAGAAAAATTTTTCAGAAAAAAAACCACGGTAATCTGAGGTTAACCGCGGTTTTCGCCGGTTTCAAAAACCGCATAAACGGTCTGACTTTCGCGGTTTTTTCTTGAAAAAATTTTCCGTGGAGATCATACGAAAAGATAGCTAGTCAAGTATAATTCATTATTCTAAGTCGAATGATGATATTTGTTTTTTTTTCCGAATGATCACAAATCAATGAATTGAAATCGAAGATTTCAGGAAAAATCTTATAATTCCCGAATGAAATAAGATTATATAATCAGCATTGTATAAATCGAAAGCGAAGAATTTTCTCTATCGATTGGTTCTATTACAACTATAAATTGAAAGGAGAAGAACTTTAGAGTATCGTGTTTTTCTTTTTCTTCAAATCTTCAATAACAATTCATCTGATTGGTTAATTGATGACTAAAGCAAATTTCTGTGGCTTGAGATATACTCTCTTAAATGGTAAAAAACCGCAAGTGTCTATGATGTTCTTATTAATAAATTTATTTTCAAAAGCGAAACAGATTTTGTTAGAAATAGGAATCGATGACCTTGTTTTCTTTTTTTTTTACATGTATCAAAGAGAGAAAATATTGATTTTTGACTTTATCAAAATCACAATAAAATCATGATGAATTGACACTTAAAAAATAATTTTCAATGATTTAATGGATCTATCGTGATTAAGTATTGAAAGTATAAGATTTTAATTTTGAATTTTTTTTGATGATTTCTATGTGCCGTAATTTATCCAGGCGTATTTATTTCCTTATTTATTCGATGATATATAAAGCATCAACGAGTTATCTATCCTCTTGTAAATACATAAATCTATAAAAGCCAAAAAAGGAAAAAACAACTTTAGAACTACGAAGAAATAGAATGTAAGAAACGAAAGAAAAATATAACTATTGATTAAGATTTTTTTGCCCGAATAAGATATAAATACATTAAACATATCAATATTCTGTTTTATTTTTGAGTTTCTCTAGAAAATACAAAAAAAATTTTCTTAACTGAAATTTTGTCATCGTAGTTATTTGCTGTTGTAATAGTTTTTTACATTAGTTATATGATGTATATTTTTTTAATATGACATTATCATCGATCTTATGTATATATTTCGTAGACGCATATAGAATAAATCCACGTGTTGTCATTAGCACGTTGTTTTATAATATTTGTAAGTATTTCCATATTTTATCATGAACAATTAAAATATTTCTCAAGGGTTAGTTTTTTTTTTGTTCGAATACTACAAAGTATTTCTAACAAAAAATTCAGGAAAATATTAACTACGTTATCGAATTTTTCAATAGAAACATTTTAGTTATTCGAATTTTGATGTAAAATTTTGTACATATAGAAAACTTAATTAGACTAACTTTTATAAAATTTATAGAAAATGATTCTAATTGAACTCTTTTATATTTGCAAAGTTTTAGATCAAAAATTTAATTTTTATAAAAACTTATAAATATTATTTAGACATATTGTTTTGTTTTGTTCATTTTAGTCTTCATAAAACAATAATGAAACTTCAAATTGATCAAATTGAATCATTTGATGCATGGCTTTCACAAGCTGAACAACGTATATCATCACAATTACAAATAATGGAACAAAATTTACCCGGTGTTGATCGACAATATCGTCAATTAGCTCAATTACAAGATGAACTTGTTGCACAACAACAAATGACAGAATCATTACAAAATATGGTTATTGTTATTGATGATTCATCAATAAATAATAAAAATATTCTACCATCAAAATATACATCAAATGATATTGAATCAAAATTATTAAATTTAAGTGAACGTTGGGCAAATATATGTACATTTGTACAAAATCGTTGGATACAATTACAAGAAGTTAAAATGGAATTTGAACAAGTTGAATTAAATCAAGAAAAAGTTAATCGTTGGTTAACACGTAAAGAAGATGAAATTACAAAAATGTTAGCAGAATTAAATCTAAATGATGCTGATATACTTATGCAACAAGCTCATTCAATTAAGGTAATATATATATATATAAAATTTCAATAGAAATTAATTTATTTTAATAAATAAATAAATAAACAATTCAATATATAATAATATTATACAAAAATATTTCAATCATCGATGTTAAATTTTAACAAATTTTTCTTTTTTTGATTATAATCAATCATATTTCATTTTATTTTGTCAATGGAAAAAAAAAGATAGTAGTATAATAAATTAGTTACTTTAAACTACTCTATTAAGTTTGTATTCAAGAAGAAAAAGATTAGTACAGTTTAGGAATGTCCATTATGATTTTAATGAATTTTCGACCCTCAATTTCTAAATATTTATTGAAGAATTGAATAATAGAATTTCAATTTGAAATAATATATTCTGAAAATTTTAGTCGAGAAAAAATGTTCATTTGTCAAGATATTGAATTTCAAAATGTTTCCAAACATATCTTTAGCAAACGACTATTTCCTAGAAATTCAATAAATCCGAAAGAATGATTTTTCAACCAAAAGATTTAGAATATTCTATAAGTCATTAGATCTATTTATAAATTGAATTTCTAGTAATCAAATACTCTACTGTAGTGCCTCATATGTACAAATCTTGAGGAATTTTACTTCTCCCATGAAGATCTCTTTGTAGATTCAATAAAAATTCAAACAACAGATTACTGTAGAAATAGTTACCTTGTCAAAGTACTTTAAGTATATTTATCGATCATATCCTAGTGTTAGTAAATTAATACTGCGCAGTCGTAGTCTACCACATATCTACTCATAATAGAAAATCTGTTTGAGTCTGTTTACACAATACTATTAACTAATATTTTTCATAATATGAAGAATGACAATGAATGTTACCCACGGAGAAATTCTTCAGAAAAAAAACCGTGGGAATCTGAGGTTAACCGCGGTTTTGTTCCGCATTTTGAAAAACCGCGAAAGTCACACCATTTATGTGTCTTTTAAAAACCGATTGAAACTGCGGTTTGTAAGATGGTGATGAGAACAGAAAAAAACGCGGTTATTCACGGAAAAATTTTTCAGAAAAAACCGCAGTAAACTCCTCTGCAGAATAGAAGCCCACCCCCTAGGTTAAAAGTCTCCGTTGAAAATCGAGGTTTACTTTATGAAAAATAAACTAAAACCGATGAAAAATGAAAGAATCAACATCTCTCTATCAAATAACGCAAAAACTGGCACCGGAGCATGTTTTGTTACAAAGTTACAGCTTGCGGAACAGAGGCACCCACCCTGGGCTTCTATTCTGCAGGGGGGTTTAGTCGGAGGTTAACCGCGGTTTTGTTCCGCATTTTGAAAAACTGCGAAAGTCAGACCATTTATGCGTCTTTTAAAAACCGCGGTGAGAACAGAAAAAAAACGCGGTTAGTCCTGCAAAAACTCAGCTCGGACCGCGGTTTTCTCGGTTCTCATCAGGGTATTTTCAAACCGCGGTTTTCGCTGGTTTCAAAAACCGCATAAATGGTCTAACTTTCGCGGTTTTTTTGTTGAAAAATTTTTCCGTGGGTATACAATGTACTTATTCTCTTCTGTATCAAGTTGATAGTTCTCTTGTAAATGAAGTTGTAAAATACTCAAAAATTGTTTTTTTTAGCGAACCTTAGACTTCAAAACTAAACATTATTAAAATTAGTTAGTTTATTATTTAGAACACTTTTTTTTTTGTTTGCCTATTCTTCTATATAGAAAATAAGAATTTAAAAGACAACAAAAAAAAACGATTCTATTAAACCCTACATCTTATCTAATTTCTATTAAACAAAATTAAAATGAAAATGGAAATTCTTAAATGTATAATATAATATTATATTTTTTTTTTAATCATCGGCAAGTATATTGATCTATTATATTCATAAAAATTTTTATTTAATTTTTTTTTTTAAAGTTAATGATTAAAAGTAAATTTTTTATTTTTCTAGAAAACAGAAATAGAAATGGATGATATTCGTCAATCAATTCTAGCATTAGATCATAGTTTAAAAGTGTTAAGTACACATTATGATAGTAAAACATCAAATGAATTAAAAAATTTAAATGAACAAATAAATATATTTGAAAAACGTTGGACGAAATTAATTGATAATCTTGAACAATGTTCTGCACGTGTAAATATTTTTCATTTTGAAAAAAACCTTCCATTTTTGGGTTTTTTTTTTTTTTTTTCTTAGTTAAAAAAATCTTCTATAAATATTGAATCAATTGTTAGAAGAAATAGTAAACCAGAAAATGATACTATACACCAAACAATAATAACAACAGTTGAAGAAACAACAGTTGAACAACGAAAAATTCCAAATGATAATACACTAAAACAAGATTTTGATTTATCAGCTAGAAAATTTATTGATTGGATAGATAGTATTGAAAAAATATTAGATGATAGACAATTAAATAATTTAAATCGAAATGATGTACAAGAAATAGTTCAAGTATATCTTTCGAAAAAAAAAAAAAAAAAAATTTTTTTTTTTGAAAACTTCTATTTAACAAATATTATAATATTTTCTAGGAAGTTAAAACAAAATATTTATCATATGATGATCAATTTAAAAGTTTAATTCAATCAGGAAATATTATTACAAAACAACTAAAAGATGGTAAAGAACTTTCTTTTTGATAAGAAAATAACTATTTTTTTGATTTTTCTTTTGTTTGTTTTCAAGCAAAAGCAGATTCAATTGAACATGAAACATCATTAAAAACACTTGAAAGACGATGGCAAGAACTTTTTAAACAAATAAGTAATTGTGAACGAACTGCTGAACAATTAGCAATTGCATCAAAATTTGATGAAGAATATCAAGCACTTACGAAAGCTATAAATGAATATCGAACATGGATTGATTCAGTATCATCAACAAGTTCACCAATAGAAATACAGGTATATAATTGATTATTGAAGAAAAAAAAAAATTCAAATATGTTATTTTGATAAAATATGATATACGCATATTATATCAATAAATTGAGTGATAATTAGCAGGTGTTACCCTTTTTTTTGTTTTTATATTCTCGTATTTTATAAATGAAGACTTAATAGTGTGATGGTAGTTTCTCTAATGATTATTTTTGGATCAACATGTATATAAAAACAACATATACATTTAGATAAGAGATATAGAATGAATGATTGAGTGATTATATCTTGTTCTAATCGACAATAAGAGTATTATAACACCATACATACATACATGCCAAGTTTTGAGATAAGAAGACAAAAAAAAACTCTCCGAAAAAAAAAAGAAATTAATGAATCAATAATTTATTCATTGATTTCATCATTTATTGATTAGAAATAAATGACCGATAAAACATCAGTTGTAAATACATAAATGAGAAAAAAAATTGTAATTTTTTTGTTGGTCAATGAACACTTACACCAACACTTTATTCCACTTTTCTGTCATTTACTTTTTCTTCTTATGTATAGTCAATTCTTTTACGTTTTTTTTCTCGCTGTTCATAGTACTAATAAATTCAATTTATCACTTTTTTTTTTTATAGTATGAGTAAACATCATTGATAGTTAGTTATTTGCATTTCTACTTATCTCATTATCTATATCAAAGTAACGAAATTTCTAAGAAATCTTAATCATATCTATTTTTCTATTTACTGATTTCAATATTAAATTTATAATTGACAAAAACAAAAACTTAAAAAAAAGAAATCATTTATTAATTTATATTAAAAAATAATTTTCATAGATTAAATCGAAAAGTTTTCAATCATATAACGAACGTCTTGCAAATTTACGACGTATGGCTAATCGTATCGATTCAAAAACTACTCAACGAACAGATGATTTGTTACGTTCATGGGATGAAACACAGGCACGACTACGTAAGTAGGAATAGGATTGTTTTAGTTTTTTTTTCTCTGTTTTTATGTGTGTCGTGTATGATTTCATCACAACCTATTATTAACCACCTTTCTTCTCCTCCTCCTCCTCCCACTGCTCATGCTTTTTATCCTGCTTTTTGCTGCCATATGCTTCATACACAAATCTGTCATTGATTAGGGGGACGGCATTACGATTTTGTATGCACGCGTGCAGGTCACTATCAACACGGTTGACCGAAACAAAACAAAAAAGAAGAAGAAGAAGAAGATGGCGAGGTTATCTGTTCTACCCAGTAGCCTCTCGTTCTCAAATTAATACATTGTCTTTCTTTTCCTTCTTGTTCTTCTTTTCCTTCTTGTATTCTTTTTCTTTTCTCTGCCATTATTGGGATAAAAGCATCCATACAAATACAATTTAGTTTGGGTTGAACGTCCGAGACTGATCAAACTATATGAATAGTATACACATCTACATATATCGTCTATGTGTCATGGTTGGAATTATCGACGTTATACATGATCATATACCGTGGTATGTGACGACAGTATAAGAAGAAAGAAAAGAACAAGTACAATATGACGAACGAGCGATGAGTTTATCGTTAGTAAATTTGGTCTTGTTCTCGATGTGTCTATACATGTGCAAACGATGCTGCTTGAATTTTTATCCTTTTTTTTTCTAGCACGCGAGCGAGTAAGAAAAAGAAGAAAGAAAGAGAGAACAATATGGAGAGAGTAGTACTTTCTCTCTCTCTCTCTCTGTGCTGTGTCCCTCTCTCCATCTCATCTGTGTCACTCTTCAATGCGAATATATACATATTTGCTCGTCTGTATGTCGCATCGATGGCGATGTTGTCTTAAAGTGTCGCCAAGTTTACTAAAAAAAAAACTATAGAATATAGGACACGCGAAAGAACGACAGAATAGTTTGTTGTTATTCTAATAAAAACCACATATAGACATATCATTTTTATCAGATTGTCTCTTTTAGGTCATTATTATTTGAGAGAGAGAGTGTGTGTGTATGTGTGTAATATAAGATAGTTCTAGTTTTTGGATATTGTTATAGTTTTATCTTTATTCTATCTCTGTCTCTTTCTTGTCTAATATAAGGTGAACGTATTAAACGTATTGAATCTATGCAACAGCCATCCGGAACTACCGGTTATGGCGTTTCTTCATCTCGTCGTGTAGGCACATCGACAGCACCAATAAGTCCAATACATACAGATATAAGTGAACCATTATCATCAGCAACTACAACTAATGCATCAAATATTGGTTCGAATGTTAATGAAAATGGAAATCTTTTTACTTTAACAAATATATATACATTTGGTGATCATGGAAATATTTCAACAAATACAAATTCATTATCAGATAAATATCGTGTAAAATCTTTTGTTGAAGTATTTGATCCAACATTATTATCAGAACAAAAAAGTGAATATGATCGAAGCTATAATGAAACATATTCATCATCTATAAAACGACAAATATATACAAATACTAATGATACACATGATTATGATTCAACAAATATTCATCAACATTATAAAACAATAGATCCATCTTTAACAACATATGTAACAGGTAGTTCAATTTAAATTATAAGAACTAGTATGAGTTATACATACATATATATATATATACATAGAGAGAGAAAGATGAGCAAGTATGCTTTTAGTGTATGTGTTTGTATGATATTAATGCTTTTGCATCTAATGCTTCTCCCATATTACTACCCTGCTTGGTTATTGATTTATACCTAAGAGAAAATTTGATTTATTCAACATACGTCTATTTCTCTAGGGGAAATTTTCTTTTTATATTGTTATTCTTTCTTTTTTTTTCTTTTTCTTTTGAGTAGATTAATCGAATTCAAAAGTATAGTCAGGTTTCAAAATACACATATGTCTAGCAAATAAAATAAGAACAAGAAAGATTTCAATATAGTTTATTGTAAAAATAGAATTTGTATACTATATTCTTATTCTTATATTTCAAATATTTATTTATCATAAGAAAATTCTAATAAATTAAAATATTAAAAAAAAAAAAAAAAAAGGACATTAATTGAAACAAATTAGAAGTGTCAAAAAATATTTAACAAATATCTTATATTAGATATTATCGTATATGAAAGATTTTGAGTTCAATTTGACATGAATAAAATCATTTGTCAATCATAGACATATTTTTATTCGTGTAAATATTTACTTCCTTCGTCTTCTGTTTTTTTTTTTTGGTCTCTCACTCTGTCTATTATAAATTATTGAGATATTGACTAAAGTCTTTTGTCACATATTTGTCATATGTCCTTCGTTTCAGTATGTTAGAGCTATTAAGATCGACCAAAGACATAGATACAATCTGTCCTAACATTTTCTTTCTTAAATGTTTTATCTATAGACATTATAGTTTTAGTAATGTATTGTAAAAAAAGAAAAAGCTATTTTATATTCGAATTTCAGTACATATCTATTAAATAGAAAGTTGATAAGGAGAATCTTGTGATTGATACCAAAAAAAAAAGAAAAAGAAAAACGATCATTTCAATTCAAATCAATGAGAAATCTTTGTACAATAAAATCGATTGATGAGAAAAATTCTTCAATAAATAAATTGCTATTTTGAGTTAAGACTATGTACATTATGGAGACTCTAATGATCTATTCGTGCTATTAGTTTATTATTTGCAAAGATATTTCATGTTTATAGAATTTTTTTAAATGAATAAAAGAAAAACTAATTTTCTAATTTTACATAGAGATAGATCTTTTAACAAGAGTTATTTATTATGAAAATTCTAAGATCATAAAAGACACACGATTACTATAATTATATCTTAGAATAAAGGACGAGAGTTGAAATATTCACAAAAAAAAAAAAACCTATTTTCATTAAGATCTGCATCTATACGAAAAAAAAATCAAGTCGAAATCAATTTTTTCGATATTCTTGCAGAGAACCATAGTGTTCATTTCAAAAGAAAGCTATTAGCACAAACCCTACAGGATTAAAATGTGAAACATGATGTAGCTGATGTTGATAATCCTAGGAAGATTGTTTTCTTTGTTCTATTTTGGGACACATTTCTTCGTTCTCTTTTCACTTGATCCTCCAGAAATACCATGAGAAAATTATTTATATATTGTAACAAGAGGTTACTGATATATATATATATCTAGTCCGTGATTGTATATCAACAAAATCTATCACTGTATGTGTCTACTCTATACACTTCTACGCTTTTTATAGATCGTATTTCACTAAATACTGTATACGTGCAGGAACTTCATAGCAATAAACTAAGAGCACGAACTCTTTTTAAAGATATTCATATAATCATTTGAGTTAATATAATACATATGATCTGTACTTAAATGCAATTTATTATTACTTAGAATATTTCTACTTATGAAATACTCTTCAATAAACAAAATTCTATATATAGTTTAACTGAATAGATATATATAATTTTGATTGCTAAAAAACCTTGACATATGAAAAAGATAATTATCTAAATCATACCTTGAACTATGAGATATGGAATCTTGATGTCAAAGCTAAAATTATATTGAGATGATAGACGGTTTCTTTTTTTTTGCTGAAATGATAAAGTTTTATGATGGACATTATTTTTTTGCAGAAATTTTGACAATAGAAAATCTAAGATCTTCTATTCAAATGAAATAAATTCTATTTACAAATTTTATATAGATGATATTGGAAATTCAACAATAATTACTAGTTCATCAACATTACCAACACATTTTACTGATATACAACGTAAATTACGTCAATGGCTTGAACAAGTTGAACAATCATTATTAAATGATAAAGTTCGTTTTGGTGATTTACAAGCAATTGATGCAAAAAAAAAAATTTATAAAGATTTACTTGATCAAACATTAGAACAAGAACATACAATGGAAGAATTAAATGTTATTGCAAGAGAATATTATTCAAAATTATCTATTGATATAAGTAGACGTTTACAAGAAGAATTAACTAATTATCAAGATCGATTATATGATGTTAAAATGTTTTTAAGTGAACGTTTAGCAAAATATAATCGAGCAGATAAAACATTAAGTGATTTTGAAGTAAGATCAAAATTTAAAATTATTTTTTCTTTTTTTTTCTCTTTGATTATTTTAGAGAGGTATTGAAGAAGTTAAACTTTGGATACGTAATGTTCAACCACGTTTGAATACAAACGAAACTTCTTATACTGATTCACGTGCACTTGAAAATCAACTTGGTCGTAGTCAAGTAAATTCTTAATATAAAATTCAAACAATTGATGAATTTTTCTTGTTTTTTTCACTTATTTAAGGTTCTTCAACATGAAATTCGTGAAATGCAAACAACTATTAATCGTTTAAATAAAGATGTTGTTGATTTAACACAAGATGCTGATGAAAATTTAGGACGACATTTACGTGAACAAATGAAAGAATTAAATGAAAATTGGAGTCATATTATAAGTTCAACAAAAATTTTTTCACAAAATATTCAGGTTAGAGAAAAAGAATATCAAAATTTATGATTGTAATAAAATTAATTAAAATATATATATATAAAAGAAAATCTTTTAGAATTAGACAAATATCGAATATGTTATTCTTTAGATTCAATGAATTTCGTTTAGTCTTAATTAGAGATATGCGAAGGATTAAGTGGTTTAAATTCCGATTCTAATCTAGAACAAACTATACTTGAATTTATTCGTCGTACATATAAATAGTTATTTTTGATTTATCTAATCGATAATTTGTGTTTTTGTTTTTGTATTGTTTCTCTGAAATGATATTCTGATTAATAAGATAATTCGTTTAGAATGAAGGAATATTTAATGCCGTACATTTCTAGGCTTGTTTACGATAGTATTCAGGTAATTAATAAAAGGATGTAAAAATAAGTCAGATTTCAAAGTTAGCTTTACTAGATCTACATACAGTTGAAATAAATGACCAAAAACAAAAATCTGAGGGGCTACACAAATAGAGGTGTAAGCCAAGGGGCCAAACGGCGGTGGCTGTTTTAATGGTCTAATTTTTTTCCATGGCGGCGGCGCCTACTAGACTCCATGTTTTTCTACACCGGCGGCGGCGGCGGCTTTAATTTCAAAATTCTTTTTCCATGGCGGCGGCATATCATACTATTATCAAAAATTTTCGCTCGTAGCGGTGGCGCAACGGCTGAGCTAACTTTTTCATAGCGGCGGCGGCTAAAAAATTTGTAAAACTATCTACGATTCCGAGGCGACGGCGGCGGCGCAGCTGAATGGCTTACACCTCTATGCACAAATCCTAAAAGAAAGTCCATGATGTTCAGAAACACCTAAACTTGATTGCATATTATGGTATAGCTCAATTAAATGCTCGGCCAATTCTTTAAATACTCGATAATGTTAGGATTAATTGGATAGTTCTCGACACTGAACATTTCGGTATAGTGTCTATTCATTTATATGAGATAACTACTCATATTTGAATACTTTTACAGATGATGTTCTATGACAAAAAAAAATCTGTTTTTGTAATACTTATATCGAAAAAGTTTAATGTATAAAAACATTAATTTTGTTAACGAAAGGATTAAACATACATGTATAATGAAACATCGATAAAAAAAACAAATACAGTTTAAAGTAGTATGTTCTCATTGAAGTGCATTGTTGATTGATAAAATATGTTTAAACCAAAAATTCATTGTATAGTGATTAAACTTTTTCTTTAAGAGGATTGTTTTTTTTTCTTATATAGAATTGTTTAGTTCAATAATGTTAAGCACTTAACTTGCATTTAAAATATGGAATCTAAGGCTTTTTATACTCAGATTTTCTAGATGAACTACAATAGTGATCCATCTAAAAGGACAGACATATTAGTTTTCATATCCTAGATGGCTTTGTTAATAGTACACTGCATTCGGAAGAAATTAAAGATTCACAGCATTTTCTAGGACATGTCCTGGAAAAGGAAAAACGATGTTTCTATTAGCAATTTTATGCAGTTTTTAAAAATATGCGGGCGAGTGAATCCGAATACTTCAGGTGTAAATTCAAAGATTTCTTTGTTTTTTTTAGGATGCATTAAAACGTAATAAAGTTTTACATGAAGAAATTCAAGAATTAGAAGATTGGATTATGGATAAAGAACATGAAGCACCTGCTGATGATGGACCAATATTTTATCAAGATCAAATTCGTGAACGACTTGAGCAATATCAAGTAAATTAAAAATCAAAATAATATCTTGTCTTCTTTTTAATATTTATCTTATTCATTCTTTTTTTTTTTAGAAACTTCAAACAGAACTTAATCTTAAAGAAAATATTGTACGAAATTTAGTTCTTCAAGGTCGTCAAGATTTAACAGGTGCACCTGAATTAGCTCAAAGTTTAGAAACACTTGTTTCAAATTGGTCTAATTTACAAAAAAAAGTTGATACAAAAGTTGTTTTTTATACAGATATATATACATTACATGAAGACTTAAAACGTAAAAAAAAACAAAAAATTTTCTATATATATATTTAATCAATAATAATTTTTAGATTTACTTCATCAAGAAAATGTTTGGCTTGATACATTACAAAATCGAGTTTTTTCATCATCAAATGATGGTGCTGATGCTGAAGAAATCTCTGAAGAACTTGATGTAAAATTTTCTTTAATTTTTTATAATAATAATTATTTTACTTTATTCTAGACTCTTGAACGTTTTGTTAAAACACATTCAAAAAGTAGTCATGATAAAATCTTTGAAATATCAGATCGTCTTCAAGCAACTAAAGTTTCATTACCAGCAACAAATAGTTTAATAAATCAATTTCGTATTCGTTGGGAACAATTACATGATGATGTATATTTTTTTTTTTGTAAATTATTTAAAATAAAATTTAAAAAATTTTTTTTTTTTAGGCTTATAAAAAAATTCATACTCTTAATTCACAAATATCTGATTATCAACATATGGGACATCAAATAACAGCAATGTTTGAATGGATGAAACATACAGATAGTACATTACATGCACGATTAAAAGATGATGTTTATGCTGATGATGTACCTGGAGAAACTGAAGTAATATATTAATAAAATTTATGAAATTAATGAAATCTTTTTGTTTTTTTTTGTATTTATAGAAATTAATTATTGAATTTAATCAATATGAAGCATTTTTACGTAGTATAGATGATAAAGTACATGTATTAAGAAGTACAGGAAAAATTGAAGCTTCTAAAAGACTTGAACAACAATTAATTTTATTAAGAGTAAATAATGTTTTTTTTGTTTTGTTATTGTATTTTTTGTTATTTTTAAGAATCAATTTTTACAATTACAAAGTAAATTTCGACATTTTCAAAAACCATCTGATTTTGAACCTAAACATGCAAAAATGCGTCAAATATTAAATGATGTTGAACAAAATACTCATACACTTGAAATTCATTCTGATGATCCTGATATTATTCATAATCAATTAGAAAATTGTCTAGTATGTTAAACTATTAATAAAAGAAATATTTAAATTTTTTTTTTTCTATTTAATAGAAACTTTATAAAACTTTATCAGATATCAAATCTGAAGTTGAATATGTTATTCGTACAGGACGTGGTATTGTTGAAAAAAAACAAATTGATGAACCAAATGATTTAACAAGACAAATCGATAGATTAAAAGCACAATATAATAGTCTTGGAGCAAAAGTAAGTATTAAATTTTTATTTTAAAAAAATTCTATTTTATTCGAATTATTGATGTTAAGATAAATACATGAGAGTAGAAACGAAAATTGTCTGCCGATAGACTAGTCTTTTCCGATCAGAACATTTCATTTTCTATATGAAAGTTCTCCGAATCGTTGATTGTAGCCAATTGCTTTTTTCGTGTTTTTCTTTTTGAAAGAGCATGTGAGTCTGTACTATCCATTTTTTATTATTGTATAGAAACGTAGTCGTATAAATAGATGACCATTTCTTGTGACGTTGAACCTGTCAGTCAGTTCCTTTGTATTAAAATTAAGAATTTAAAAGCAAAGGACTCTGTCAGGCACTATAGTCTGACATACGTGTATTGAATATCTCCAAAAAAAAATGTTACGATATAGGGCTGAAAACTTTAGCATTATCTCTTCATTACAATCAAAATGAATTTTTAAGAAACCGGGACCGAAACTTAAAACTGGTCTCGTTATATTTTCTATTTAAGAACTGGACTACATATTTTCATACTTATTATTCTGTTCTGACGAATGATCTACAAAAAAGGCCCTTTTTATTCATGATTGAGATAAAATTATGAATCTACAAAATCATTTTTTTCGATCCTGAACGGAAATTACCTTAGAGATCCATACTAAAAGTAGTACTCATACTTCTGTCGATGTATCTATGCTAGAACTGTGAACTTTGAGAATATTTTCTAAGTCACACGGTCAGATGCCAAGAAAAATTTTGAGAAACATTAAAAAAAAGTGGTATTGTTTTTCTTTAGTTTTAATACATACATATAAAGCTATGCACATACTGTTAATTTCTCAAAACCATCAATATTCATTTTTTATATCCCAGGTCAAGCTCGGTACGTCGGAACCGATCGGTTCTGTTGAATTCCGACGATTTCTTTACTACAGGATTCCGGTTCAGATTTCGTCGGACCAGTTCCGATCAGTTTCCATCGGTTCCGACGAATTCCTGGTCGAAATTTTGCGGAACTTAACGGAATTTTTCCGGCGGAAACTGGACCGGAATCCTGTAGTCAAGAAATCGTCGGAAGTCAACAGAGCCGACCGAAAATCAACGGAATCTATAGGATCCGCTGCCGGAAAACAAAGGAAACAAACGGTTCCGGCGATCGGAACAGTGGACCTGGGATATATTCAAAAAATCATACAGATTATTAGAAACATCGTTTGGTATTTCCAGAAATGCAATCAGGACCAGAAGCAAAAAAAAGTTTAAACTGAGATCGGGATCCGGACTAGTGGCGTAACCAGGAAATCGCCGGTGGGGAGGCAAAAACCTCTGGTGGGAAGGCGCCGCTCCCTCTGCTCCCCCCCCCCCCCCCCCCCCTTTGGATACGCCACTAATCCGGACCCAAAAACAAGTAGTCCCGTCGATGTCTAATCTAAAGATATATCGCTTAATTATCTTATTATTATAGGTATCAGCATCAAAAGCTCAATTAGATAATGTTGAACGTCATTTACGTAAATTTCGTAAAGAATATTCACATATACATGAATGGTTTGTTAAAGCTGATAATGAAATACGTAAAATTGAAAATAAACAAATATCAAAAAATACTAAAGAAGAAATTGATTGGATTCGAGTAAACTTGACTTTTTTTTAAAATTATTTTAAATTAAATATTATTTATTTATATTTTTTTTTAAATAGACTACAAGAAATGATATTAAAAAACTTGAAAATAATTTTGAAACATTAAAAAATTTAGAACGTACAATACAAAAAGAAGTTAATCGACCATTAACAAATATTCATGAAAGAATCATGGAATTAAAACGACAAATTGAACAATTAGATCGAAGACTTAAAGATCGATCAGAAATAATTGAAGTAATGACAAGTTTGTTTTTTTGACTTTCATCATTAGATAATAGAAAGAAAGAAAGAAAAACCAATGTCATAGAGATGATATCCTATATACTAGTGCATAACCTTCGATAAAGATGATTGGATTATATATATATATATAAAGAAATAAGAGAATCTATTATGTAATATACAGTTGTCATCAATTCGGATAACACATTTTGCATCTATTGACGTAATCGATGCAAGTGCTGACCACATGTGATAGTAATATAATTATATAGATCTTTGATTTATTGAAAAAGATCTTTTAATAATCTAATATAATTATGCAGTTGACCGATTATTCATACAACAATTAACTCATCATTCTTTATAGTCTATCTTAGATAACATGATATGAATAGATGAGCAAAGCAGCTGCTTATTATATCAATCTTGATTTGCATGATGAGTTCTTTTTTTTTTACTATATTGGCATAACTAGACAAAGAGAAACAGAGAAAGGAAGTATCCAATCGATCATATTCGATGATTTATTTGTAAGCACAAAAAAAAAAAGAAAAATAGAGACGAGACGATTACGTACATCCGTACATCGACTAAGATGCACCCTTTTGTATAATTAAACTTAGCGCCGAGCATAAAGGAAATTAGTTTGTATGTATATAAGTTTGCGTATGTCACTTACTGACGGACAAAGAACACAACGGGCGTAAGCTTGCGCATTTGTGTTATCTCAAAGAAGTCGTTCTCTATTTTCTTTGTACCATTTTTACATCGTTATTCTTTCAGTTTTCTTTATTCTTTCTCGCTTAATAATACACTCGGGTGTTCGTTCTTTTCTTTCTGGTATTTTTTTTTGTCAGTGATTCGTATCTATTAGTGCCAACATAGAAAACAAAAAAACCACACGTACTCTCTGTATTAGCCTTCCAAAAATATAACTATCTTCGTTTCTTTCTTACTAATATACATTTTCTTTTTTATATACTCTGCGATGTTTTATTATTGTTATTATTATTATTATTATTATTATTATTAAAGAAAAGGATAATAATTTGTAGACATTATAATATAACGACTAGTAGAAATCTAACGTAGAAGCCACTATGCTAATTACATTAAGTATTTTCTAAAACTTCAACTCCTCTTCCATCATATTAATCAACAAACTAACAAATTTCTGTTGAAAGAAGAAACAAAAAAAATCCTAGAACTTTCTATTTATATTCTATGTTCTGACTTGTGGACTTCATCATCATTGTCATCAATCAGTTTCTGTTTGTCTTACATTTATAGATATACATATATATATATATATACATGAACAACTCAAATAGATATCTCTCTTTTCTATCTCTAATTATCATCAATAATGAATAGCGAAGAAAGATGAGGACAATAGATATATATATAGGTACTTCGAAGCTAATATATTCCTTTTTTTTTAGAGTAGGATTATTTGTTTTTCTTCTCCATTTTTATTTTTTGTTGTCTTATTAATATAGTTTTATATCCATTATCATCTTCAGAATAAGAAAATAAAAAGAAAAGACTAAGACAGAATGAGGACTGACGTCAAACATTCGACGTCATCACATTCTGAACCTTCACATCGTTATCATAATTTACTTTATATTCCGTTTGAATCTGGACATAATGCATCGTCAGGTATATCAACATCATCAACGAATCTTGCCCCTATTGAATATATTATATATCCTATTGGTTTACGTCAGGTATTATTATTATTATTTAAGTATGACTTTGATTAATTGTTATCTAAATATGAAAAAATAATAAAAAATTTACAAAAAAAAAATTGAATATTTTAATTTTTTCTTTTTTTTTTTTTTTTAGGGTCAAGTACGTAAATTAGAAGATGATTATCAAAGATTTATTCATATCTATCAAGAAATAATTATACGTTTGGAAAAATTAGAAACATTATTATCGGATGCTGAACGTATTCTTGATTTAAATAGAATTTCGGTTAGTATAAACATATAATCAAAAGAATTTTATCGGATAACGATGAATCACTTTCTATTTAAAAAAACACCTATAACATTCGGTAGACGGTAACTCGTAACACATTGAAAAGTATACAGAAAATTGCTTTTTTTTTATCAAGTTTTAATATTCTAAAAAACTATCATCAAATATTATGATTTAGTATGTATCCAAACGAATCTATTTTAACTTTTTTTTTTTTAAATTACTTCAAATGAAATTTTACTGGATCTTTAATTTTGTATATTCAATAATACTAACAATATCTTTCTTTGTACCTGAAATCTTAGAATTCTTATTGGATTATGTAATTTTTGATTTTTATGATATGTTAAATTATTCAACACTGTTTCCTAGGGCAAAAGGTGAATAACCATGGAACTTTCTCCGAGATAATATACCACAAAACTCTATTAGTATATTGATCGATTATACTCTGAATTAATGTACATCATAGTTATATCGACCAATTAATGCCTTAGAAAAAAAAACAAAAGGTCAATGATTCAATCCCTAAAGACATAAAAGTATATGAGTTTTACGATAAAAACTTTTTTTTTTTCAGTACAAAAATTTCTATCAGTCAGACCATTTATGCGTCTTTTAAAAACCGATTGAAACCGCGGTTTGTAATATTGCGGTGAGAACAGAAAAAAAAACGCGGTTAGTCCTGCATAAACGGTCTGACTTTTTCTTGAAAAATTTTTCCATAGGAGTGATCCTCTTAATCCTAATAAAAATTATAATAAAATTTTATGATCTATTTTTGTTTTTTTTTCAGCAAGTTCAAGATGAATTACGTAGTGTTCGAACACAACTTGATGAATTACTTAATCTTGGTCAAGAACTTGTATCAAAAAGTGAAAAATATAGCAAACTTGTTGCACCTGATATTGAAAATATAACACGAAAATTTGAAGAATTACAACGTCGTATACGAATTATTCAGGTTAATTCTATTGATTTAAAATATTTATTCTTAAAAAAAAAAAAAAAAACATATTTTAGGATACACAAGAAAAACGTTTAAGAGATCAACAAATGACAACAACAGCAGCAACAACAACAACCACATCAACAACAACAGCAGCAGCAAATAATATTCAAGATGATCATCGTGATGATACACGTCAAGAATATTATTCTGAAAAAAGATATAATCGTTTTCAACGTGAATCTCGTCATCGTTCACCATCAGAATCATCGGATATAAGTACAACACATGGTGTTATTGATGAAGAATTTAAAAAAAAATATTTACGTTGTTTGGCTTATATGAAATTAATTGAACGTTTATATGAAAATCAACCAGAAAGTGATGAAGATTCTGAAACAATACATCGACGATTATCTAGACGAGTATATATATATTTTCTTTTATACTTTAATTCATATATATATTAAATATTTTATTATTTAAAGGAACGAACACTTCGTGAACGTCCAGAATATGAAGAAATAGAAAAAATTATACGTGAAACAGAAGAACGTGCTTATGTTATTGAAAAAACTGATGTTGAACAAGCTAATCGTATACGAGAAAAAATTCGTCGATTAAGAGTAAAAATTAATTTAAGACTTTTTTGTTTTTTTTTTCTATTATTCTTTTAAATTAAAAAAAAATATTTTATTTTATATATTTATATAGGATTGTTTGGATAATCTTAAATATCGTTCAAATCAATATCAAAATAATGATGAAATTCTTCGATATAATGAACGATATGAAGAACGTGTTCAAACAACAGATAAAACAGTACCAAGAGAACGGGTATGAGATAAAAAAATTTTTTCAAAATTTTAATCTATATCAATACAACTAAAATCGAATTTTATTACTGAGACATAACAACCTCATATAAAAAAAAATAAGTAATTATATATTTAAACTAGAAATATCTAGATCAATCTCCTCGTACAATTTCTAATGTGAATACTTTAGCGACAGATTTTTCCTTACAATTTTAACTAGTTGTAGTTCTGAATAGAAGATTGATGGGGCAAAAACATCTTGCCATTTTCATATACATACAAAAACAGATATGTATATCATAGTGTAGGTAGCAAGTTATCGAATAAATCATGTGAGATAAACAATCATTAGTGATTTTTTTCAGGCTAGAGTAGTACCAATATTTGAGTATAGGATCTTATAGATAGGGGTGGGAAGTTACCGGATAACGGGGCAGTTACCAGTTACTTTTTCAGAGTAACTCGTTAAAATGACGAATTATGACATCCTATGATCGTATTTAGTGAAAAAATTAATTTTTGAATTTTGAAGTTACCAGTTATCGGGTAACTCCGAAATTCAAAAATTAATCTATTGACAAAATTCGATCATAGGAAGTCATAATTCATCATTTTAACGAGTTACTCTGAAAAAGTAACTGGTAATTGCCCCATTACCGGTTACCCGGGAACTGATAACTTTTCCATTACCGTTGCCGGGTAACGGTAACGGTAACTTCCCACTCCTACTTACAGATACGTATCGAATAATATGATTATTAAAAAAATCATAGGATATTTCAATCGAACGCAAAAGAATTTATATATTTCATCGAATAAAAAAAAATCTAAACTATAAACATTATATATATAAAGTGTTGATATTATGACAAACAAATTTTTGACCTTGTTATCAATCAAGGATACTAACAAGAATACCATTTTTCACTGAAATAATACATTCATTTAAAAGACAATTGATTATTAATATCCTTCATTCAGTATCATATATCATATCACAAAAATAATCAAGACAACAACAAGAAAAGAAAGATATTTGGAATATTTTCTTCAAGGTCATTTATAAAAATATGATAGATTATTTTTCAAAATAATTATATGTTAAATATTTAAAAAAAAAAAAAAAAACTTCAACATCTTTCAATTGTTAATCTATTTACAAAAATCAAGAAATACATCTAAAGAATAAGATAACAAAAAAAAAATCAATATCATTCTTATCTTTTGATACGTACTCAAAAAAAAAATCCTAAGCCTTTTAATTAAACTGTAATATTGACATACATAAAAAAAAAAAAAGAACAAGAATATGTACATGTCATATCTTTTCATTGAATAAATTTAATCAAATATAAAGTTCTTTTTTCTTTATATTGTCCTTGTTCTTTTAAACATTTATCTACAAAGAGGAGAAAAAAAAAAAAAACCTCGAGTATTTAATCTCAATCTAAATGTTTATTTCATTGACATATTCATATGACTTTTCTTTTATTTGATTTTTTTAATGCAGGAATTTGATTCCGATTTTATATATGATATTGATGATACACGTTCAATATTAAGTGAACCAGTACCACAATATAATGGTAAATATCGTAAAACTGTTCATTCACTTGATCGTTATAAAACAGATGAACAAACGCGATATATTCCAATTAATGAAGAATATCATTTACAACCATTATTACGTGTACGTAGTTTAAAAGCAATTGATCATCATACATTAAGTGCACCATCATCGCCTGTATTACAAACACGTTATCGTTCATATGAACGTCCAAATGCATATTATAAAAAACAATATACAAATCAACAAGGATATCATGATACATGTCATCATAGTTCAATATCAAAATCAGCTAGTATGCCAAATGGTGGTTTTCCTGTACAAGGATGTTTAGTACAAACATGTATACCTCAACAACCAGTTATATATCGTGAACGTGTTATTGATCGACATGTTGCTGAACGTAGTGCATCACGTGGAGATTCTCATCGACAACAACAACAACAAGAAACAAGTGGTACAATGCAAATGAATTCATCTGGTACATATGGAAAAACGCAAACACAAACACAAACACTTAATCGATCATTACCTGTTCGTTATGAAACATCAAATATTACAAGTGGTACATCATCTAGTTATCGACAAGCAAATGGTTATAGACAGGAACAATATCCAACATATTGTTATAATGAACAACAACAAGGAGGAGGAGGACGAGCTAGTAGTTATCGTCAACAACCTTATCCAATTCATAATGTTGGACCACATCCAACACGTATTGTTTATTAAAATAAAACAAAAGAGTTTATCCTATCTATATATTCTACTAGTAGAAAGAAAAATAAAAATATGTTTGCTGTGCGTATACATGCGTTCTTCTTTTTCTTTTTTTTCTTTTCGGTTTTTCTTTTTTCGACTAATTTTTAAATGTCGGTGTTTATGCGCAGTGGTTCTTTTATTTACATATTAACAAAAAACATACACATACACATACACACGAAAAAAAATACAAAACTCTATTTCTTCATTTGTTCGAAACTTTTTACTAGTACGAATCGTTCTTTTTTTTTTTTTCCTCATTCTCTTTAATAAAATATATAAGTATTTGCTACAAGGAAATAAAACATTATGATTACACCTGGTTCTTATATATGTTAATCAAGGATAAAATCAATTTATGCATTCTAATAATAACATAATATGCTTATGTCGTTTATTTATCATAGACATATTGAAAAGAAAAAAAGCAAGTCATATGTTGTTGGTTTAGAATACTAAAAGATCGAATTAAGAATAAGTGCTAACACTAGAGAATATCTCTACAGAGAAAAGAAAAGAAAAAGATTGATCAAATCAGCATATGTACTATTAGAACAATTAACTGGTTGTTTTTCATGCAGATATAACATCAATCATGTCATGTTGGTTAGTTTTTTCATACTATTGACATAAAAAGGCGACAATTAGACTATAGAACAATTGCTTGTCTATTACATCTTTTATTGTTGTTCTTATCAAGACAAATACATAAAGCTTTCATAGTATTCTCAATCTCTTTTTCTTTTTTTTTTCATGTACATATCGTATATCTAAGATATGGAACAAATAGACAATAAATCTTTGGATTTTATCTTATGTATTGAAAAATTATTATCATCTATATCAACTGTACGTAAATGTTTATTGAGTCTTACTGATATAGAACAAAATTCATCAATACAAAGTGAAGAATCAATTAAAAAACTTAAAGTAAGTTATATAAAACATAATCAAATTATTTTTATAGTCAATAAAGCAACACTAATTATTTTACTATAAAGTTACATATAAAAATAATATTAGTTCGAACTCGTTTAACCTATATTAAATAAACACTAAACTTATTAATACAGAATTTCCTTATGTAATAAAGAAAGGTCAAAAAAAATGTTGTTTTTTTTATTATTATTACAAATAAAATATCTAACAAATTTTCCCTCCTCTTTACACACACATATTTTTATATAATCTATCATTTGTGTATTCCGTGATAGTTTATAAATTGTATTTGTTTCTTGCTCTAGAGTTGATTATTCCCTAAACATTTACGCGTATATATAAGTTAAAATATATTAGCCATTGTGTGCTCGATTTCCATTAGAAAAAGAAGAAGTTCATTCTTTTCTTTAGCCCTTAGGGTGAGAACAAAAAATGATGAAGAAAAAAAGAGAAAAAACATAATAAAAGGATGAGGGAAATCGTTCATATAGTATCATATCTTTTTTTATTTTTATTCTTAATAGATGTTATATGAGAATATTTGTATTTTATAGGCTATAAAAGATACTATTATCAGTCTTACACCAGCCGTTGAGACAGTAGGTCAATTGGGCCCAACATCAACACTTGTCAAACATCTGTCTAACGAATATATATGTCTGTGTAATGATTATAAGAAACATTATAGTCTTATAATGGCAAATACGGCTATTTTTACAGAATACAAACAATTAATAGAAGATTTGTCTAAATGGTTGTCATCAACAAATGCTAATATTCAAGAAGTCTCACAATCAGTTGATAAACAACAAATATTACTTAATGTCAAAGTATGGATTATTCAAGAATAAGACAAGTTTGATTTTACAGAAAAAAACTATTAGTCTGTCGAAAAATATATATATATATATGAGATCAATCTTGTTTCTTATTATCAAAGGAATCTCTTCTACGATAGATAATAAGAAGAGAATGAAGAAATAGTAAATAAATAAATAGAATATAGAAAAACAAATATGAAATCAATAGTTATATTGATTATTTTATATATCATCAAAATCAAAACATCTTCAAATTTCGTTTGATAAGCATCATTTACTTTTATTTGTTTTTTTTGCACTAGCCAATGAAAAAATTTTTAATATATTTTTAAATTCAAAATATTACTATTTAAGTTAATATACTATTTTGGAACGAAAGAAGCAAACTGATAGAACTTTTCAATAGATACTCTCTTTATAAATCAGTTCTAGAACCGTCATATTCCTTTATATCATTTATTATTTCAAAATTTAAATTTAACGATGAAATATTTATTCTTAAATTAAGCACAGTTATTTTGTTTTTTTCATTTATAGCAGAATAGCAGGGCTGGCCCGACCGGGGGTTTTCGGGGTTAGAACAACCCCCAATCTTTGAAAATTTTCATTATTTCCCAGCAAAATCCAAACATTTTCTTGTGTTCTGTTAGCAAAACCGATGTTACACCTTTCAAAAAATCAGGCACAACCTCCCCAATATTGGTTGACTCGGGTCAGCCTTACAGAATAGTAAATGAATGTAGACTTTACATAATCAATCGCTAGAAAGTTTATTTAATCTGTATAATTACATTTTTGAAATGATTTTAATTGTAATAATAATTATTTTTTTTCAATTAGAATATTTTCGATATTTGTCTTCGAGAAAAAGAATGTACCAATAAATAGATTAAGTTATACGGAATTTATAATTTTTTGTAAAGATAAATACTAGTAGATATTAATGTCATTATCAATATTCACAAGTCAACTTATTTTCTATTCACGATTGAACAAATAAATTTCTATTCTTTTTTTTCTTATTTATTTTTCTATTGTATATAGAATATTGATGAATTAAACAAGTATGAAATATTATTAGAACGTGCTATTATACTCAATGAAACAATGGCAGTAGATTTACCAGATATACAAGCACAAGAAATGATTAATGAAATAAATTATATCAAAGAACAATGGGAAATACTTATTGATAGATTAAATATATTTAATGAAAGGTTATTTTAATATCTAAAATTAGAATATCTATTCATTCTATTGTTTTTATATATATAACTGGTATAAAAAAAAAAAATTAATGAACCATTCTTTTTTTTCTCTTTTAAATAATTTTATTATATAGAAATGAATGTATTTCTATAGTCTTTCCAAAAAAAAAAAAAAAATCTTGATAAATTTTTCGATGAATACTATTATCTCAATTAAATAATGATATTCTTCTTTTTTTTTTTGTATAGAAATTCATCGTCTGAATCAGATAATTTAATGAATTCACAAATTTCAAATAGTTTGACAATAGACAATGAAAATTTAGTTAAATCTATTGAAAATGTATTAACAGTAGGTACACAATTAATTAATCAACAAGAAAAAATCAATGTTAATACTATATCTGATAATGAACAACTTCTTTCTCAAATAAAAGTTAGTTAAATTAAAACAAAAACAAATAATATTTAAAACCATTTTTTTTTATTATATATTTTAAAGAAATGTGAAGAAGAAATAAATTGTTTAAAAAATGTACTTGATCATACAACAACAACAACAGATGAAATTAGTCATTCATTAATTGATCAATTAACAACAGTAAGTTTTACATTTATCCTTCTTTTTTTCTTCTCTTATTATGGTTAGAATCTATATTTATAGGTTGATTCGTCTATTACAAAAATGCATATTCAATTAGAAAATTGCATTGAACAACAACGTGGCTTTGTTATAGAATTAGATTCATTTATTGACTGGTTAAAAAAATTTACAGACGAATCTAAAACAATGGATAATCAAGTAAAATAATAAAAAGAATAAATTTATGTCATAAATATTTCTTTGATCATTAGACAATTCAATTAGGTTTAGTTGAACGACAAGAACATTTTAATGAATTAATTAAATGTAATCAACAAAATGATTTCGAAATAAAAGAAAAACTTCAATATTTAATTGATTTGTGGACTCACTTATCATCAATGAGTAAGTTTGATGATGATGTAAGAACAAACTTGTCTCTTCAACATCGTCATCTTCTTCTTCTTTTTCCAGTCAAACAATCATCAGCCATAATTTCATAACCATCTGCATTTAGTTAATTCACTTAGTTTAATCATCACCTCATTGATAGCAAATAGGGATCGAATGAGAAATCTCAAGATGATTTTTTTTTTCCTCTTCCTCCTCATTGATATACAGCTTTAAACTTATGTCCTATGTATTATATTTAACCCTTCTCTTTTTTATTCAATTTTGTGTTCTATTGAATCTGACGATGGTTACTAATTATACTTATAGAAGAAAATTTATTACTAACACATATCAAGAGAGACCAGGCATACTACACGAGGGAAAACCGCAAAATAGAGAGCGAAAGAGAGAGAGACAAAGGCAAACATATAATTGAATTCTTTTCTTCTCCAGTCTTTTTCTTTTTTTTTATCATACTCTTCAATATTTGCTTGTCTACTAGTACAGGAAGTTAAACATTAATACTCGAGCACGTCCTTATTTCCATGTTTTTATGTTAAGTGAATCGTCTTAGTAAAGCATGTAGTAAATTCTCGAAGAAATATCGACTAGAATTTTAATAGTAGAAGAAAAAAAAAAGAAAAAACGTGTTGTCAATGATGTAATAGAATATAATTAGTAAACGAAGAAACAACTCATCGAAAGATGAGTTCGAGATGATTAATAGCAACTGATATGATAATAAGTACATGTATTATAAACAATGTACATCATCGGTCAAATGAATATATATGTATAACATGCATACATACATGTACATAGCCGAAGGTGTATTCATAATGATGATCTTACCTTTCTCTTATACTTTCATCTATTAAGCAAAGTACACATAACTTCAAATTCCTGTTCTCTCTATTCTTATTTCTTTTTTTGCATCGTTACAGAGTAATAATAGTTCACCTTCTTACATATTTCTTCCTCATAAATTGTAGACATTGTAAAGTAATCGTACTTTCTCGTCCTTTTTTTTCTCCTTTTTTTTTTCTACATTCACCTTTTCTTTCTTTTTTTTCTTCTTTTATTATAGTCACTGGCTCTCCGAACATAGTGACTACGGAATTGCCTTCAACTGTACCATTGTTATCATCATCATCATCATGCATAATTGAAAATCAACATAGTATAATTGAACAAGCACAAAATTTATTAAATACTATTGTACAATTAGGTAATCGTCAAGAAATTGAACAACATAAAGATCAAATTCAAGTAAAATAGAAAAAAAAAAAAAAAAATAATTAATTTTTTTTTTTTTTTTTTAATTCTTTTTCTTTTCAATAGTCTTTTTTAACTTATTATAAAGATTCACAAATATCTAATTTAAATTTAAGTATATATATGAATATTTATATTTATTTTTCTTGTCTATTTATTATCTTTTCTTGACATAGTCTATAATGAACTTGCCAATCGGCAATTAATATTACAACAAATGTTAATCGATACATCTCGTATAGATCATCTTCGTATTAATTTTGTTTCACATTTTCATACAGAAAATAATGCTCTAACAGCTAGTAATGAAATAATAACATTAATTAATAATTATCCAATAGAAATGACAAGTCAAATTCGTCAATGGTTAAATGAACAACAAAAAAATCATCCAACAACATCATTAGAATCAAATATTGATGATTTTGAATTATATTTAAAAGATTTAGAAGAAAATTTACTTCAATATCAACAACATGATAATAGTCAAATGAAATTAAAGGTTTTTATTTGTATGAAAGAAAAAAAACGAAATTTTTCTTTTTTCTTAGAAACTTATTCAACAAATAGAAAATCGACCAAATTTACCAGAAAATTTAACAAATAATAATAAACAACGTGTAGAATATTTACAAAAAAATTTTCTTAAATTAAAAAAACAAATTGAAGATATTCGTAAAAATAATTTACTTATAAAAACAAATATTGATAATACTATTAGTAATATTGATATATTAATAACAAGTATACGAAATATTGAAGAACGTATTCAAAATAATCTTAAACAACCAATGCATGATTATGAAAAACTGATTCTTGATTGTCAGGTTTGATCTAGATCTATTAATTATTGATTTATGATCATATTTCATGAGAATAGATATATAATATGTTTGTAATCATTTTCCCATAAGCTTCAATCAGTGATTTATCTAGTGGGTGGGCGCCGCCCACCCGAAATTTTGATTCGCCCACTCGAAAATATACAGCAGCGATTCGTCTGCTGGGTGGGCGTCGCCCCCCGAAATTTCGATTCGCCCACTCGAAAATATACAGCAGTCATTCGTCTACTGGGTGGGCGCCGCCCACCCGAAATTTTGATTCGCTCACTCGAAAATATACAGCAGTCATTCGTCTGCTGGGTGGGCGCCGCCCACCCGAAATTTCGATTCGCCCACTCGGGAAACCAAACCTAGATAAAACACTGGATTCAATCGGAAATAGTCGAGCTATAGAAGCAGAAATACAAATATTAATATTTTGTGATCAGTGCTAACTAAAACCAATTTTTTGACATTTATTCAGGAACGTCTTCATGTGGAGTTATCACTATTTTATTGATTTGTCGACTTTCGGCTTGGTATTAGCTGAAAAATCGAATGAGGAATTATACATTTGAAGCTTTGCCGGAATATATCAGTTTTAATAAAAAGACGAGAAAATCGCATATTTTCTAGCATTCAAAATTTCGAAAAGGACTTGTCCATTTCGGATGAAAGTTTTTTGCAAGGTTTAAGATGTATAGTTTTTTGAATTCGATTTTTTAACTAATACTTGAGTAGAAGTCGAAAAATCAATGAAATATCTTTTACGTCCGACAAACTCCCTATAGAAGATTTTTCTAGTCTTGACGAGCACTGCACATGAGAAAAGATGAGCTTAATTGACACTCGAGATTCGCCTCTTGTAAAATACATTCAATGATCGTTATGACTTCAATCGATGCATAATATGAACTCTTCACTTCCTTTTTAATTAAGTAATAATTAGATTCTTTTAATATTCAATGGACTAAAACTTAACATGAAAAATATTTCATATTATGAATTATATTCTCTAATATAAACTAACAAACATCTATTGATATATCCTTGGGACGTGCAGTAACGAATAACAAAAATGCTAATAGAAGCTTCCCGTGTGGCCTTTTTTTCCACATAAGAAAAATTTCATATCAACGTTTATTGAATATGTCAAATGAATTATTAACTAGGGTCTTTAGTATAATCACTAACAATGAAAAATCAATGAGTGAAACATAATCATAACTCACGAAAAAAAAGAAAAATTCTAATGACGTAAATACTTGTAGGATTTTTATCTATACTTAAATCCCTAACAATCAGCAATAAAGTTTATCATTTGAAAGAGTTTCTTATTATTAGATATTCTATTCAAAATATGTATAATCATAATTAGAACTTTAATTATAATATTTTCCTTTTTTCTTATTTAGCGTATCATATGTGAACTTAATCAAAATCTTCGTACACAAATTGAAGAAGCTATCAATAGTGGAAGACGTTTATATACACCAGATAATAAAGCTTCTCATGGTGTTGAAAATACTGGTATGTTAGTTAAGAGAAAAAGAAAAATCAATCATAAGAACAGAGGTCGTGTCGTTTCTTTCTATTGCTTGTCGACAATGTCATTTGCCATTTAAATCAACCATTGGAAAAAAACGATTTATTAAGCTTGTGTATCGAACTACTACTAACTTTGACCTTCGTTGTTTTTTTTTTCTTTTTCGCTATTATATTTTATCATTTAATATTATCTTTAGACGATATAGGTGGTAGTTCATCATCACCATTAAAAAAACATTCTGATTTAACATTACGTAAAGTTCGTCGACATGTTCTTCAATTAACACAACATTGGAAAAATGCTAATAATAATGTTCAATATCGTTTAAATATATTAAAACGTACTCAAACGGTATTTTCATTTTGTTTTATTTTTTTTCTTTTCTTTTCAATTATTTTTAATATAGGCGGTCGAAGAATTACGTCGCAAGTGTGATCGATTACATGCACACTTGCTTGAAATTGAACTTGCTTATGCACATAAACCACAAATTAAAGCTTTAAATAGCGAACAAATACCAGCTGAAATTGAACAGGCTAAGGTATTGTAAATTCAAAAATATTTATTATATAATCTGATAGTATTTAACTATGATTAAAAATTTATCATCTTTGTTTTTTAAGCATCTATTAGCAACATTAATGTCATGTAAAACTTCTATTGATGATATTCAACAAACAGCACAAACTGTTGAAAATGAATATGATATTCATGTTATTAATCGAGCTCAAGAACTTAATCAAAGGTTTGAAATATATATATAAAACAAAATTTATGAATTTTATTTCATATATATATATATATTTATTTAAATAGATGGGAACATTCTGTAGGATCAGTTTCACAACGAATACAATCATTACAAGATTCACTTAAACATACAACAAGTGATATTTATTCAAGTTCAGTAGAATATCCATGGCAACGTGCAATAGCTGTCAATAAAATACCGTATTATATTAAGTAAAGAAAATATCATTTTTTTTGTAAATATTTAAAATTCAAATCATTTTTCTTTTAAAGTCATTCAGATCAAACAACTTCTTGGGATCATCCAAAAATGTAAGTTAAGAAAACTTTGATATTCCTATAGCAGGTGTTCTTCACTATGAAAAAGTATTCTACCTTCTTATATTATAATATAAGAAGGTGAAACACCAGCTATGATGTTACCATATACCCACGGAAAAATTTTTCAAGAAAAAACCGCGAAAGTCAGACCGTTTATGCGGTTTTTGCAACCGGAGAAAACCGCGGCCCGAGCTGAGTTTTTGTAGGACTAACCGCGGTTTCAATCGGTTTTTAAAAGACGCATAAATGGTCTGACTTTCGCGGTTTTTCAAAATGCGGAACGAAACCGCGGTTAACCTCAGATTACTGCGGTTTTTTTTCTGACGAATTTTTCCGTGGGTATTTACGATGGAACATCTGCTATAGGAATACGAAAACTTTTTCTTTTTCCTATGCATGTCTTAGTCAAAAAAGAAAGAAAAATTAGGTCCCGATTCTAAAAAAGTTAACATCGAAGTGTATCGAATCCTTTTGCTTATATTTAATGATGAGTTTTTTTTTTAATAGGTATGAATTAATGCATTCATTTGCAAGTTTTAATGATATACGATTTTCTGCTTATCGTACAGCAATGAAACTTCGTACATTACAAAAACGTCTTTGTCGTATGTATTATATTTTTGTTAATTGAATTAAATTTTATTTTTTTGTTTTATTATTCTAGTTGATTTAACATCATTAAATAATATAATAAATGTATTTAATGAACATGAAATAATTGATTCATTAAATAAAACAATTAATATAACAGAAATACTTGATTATTTACAAAAAATTTTTGAAAAAACATCAATTGAATATTCACAATTAATTAATATTATATGTACTGTAGATTTAACATTAAATTGGTTATTAAATATTTATGATATGTAAATTTAATAATTGTTTATAGTTTAAAAGTTGATTTGATTTTTGTTTTATTGAAAGAAATCGAACTGGTTCAATTCGTTTATTATCAATGAAAATGGCATTAGCATTACTTTGTCGTGGAAATATTGAAGAAAAATATCGATGTAAATTAATAAGAAATAAAAATTTTGGTTTTTTTTGTAAGATAATTTGTTTTTTTAGATATATTTTCTTTGGTTGCATATGAAAAAGATGGTCGACATGTTCTTGATCGACAACGTTTAGCAATTTTATTTCAACAAACTATTGTTGTATGTATTTATGATTTTTAAATAATATTAATTGAATATACTTTTCAAAAGAAATAAAATTTCATTCATTATTCAATAGAATTTATATATCAGAAAAGTGACTGTAAATATTAAAAATAATTCTTTTTTTTTTTTTTTAAAATTCATATGACTTATGTGAGATTTGAACTTGAAAATATTTAGTTTGTTCTATCAACATTTATTTATATCATTGATGATGAACGTTTTATAATTGAAAACGTCGTTTTTGAGTTTAGATTCTAATGAATTATGAATACCCTAAAGAAAGAGTTCAAGCTTTTAGTTTATTGATATCGTGATACTACAATCTATTTTTTTAATACAATGCCATGATTTACTTCAGGAAGAGTATCTTTGGAATACAGAAAGATCTTAACGAAAATAATTCATCGTAGTAAAAGTTTTGAAATTTTTTGATTTGCTTTATACATTCTGAAATAAGAACATAGAATTTGTTGATATGTAAAAGACAGATTTCTACCATAGGCGTATGTTAAAATAGAAGTAATGACAAGATCTAAAAATTTCATTAAAAAACTATTCTCTTTAAGGCATTACCGTTTAAAAATCAGATTCCCTGAGAGGAAACACTATATTATATTAAAAAATAACGAATTACTGCAGTATCAAGACAACAATGATCGATATGATTTCCATCGAGAGATGAACTACGAGATAATATTTGTCTCAATTGAAATTCAAAATTGTATAAATTATCCATCAGAACATAATTCAAACAAAGTCTTGAGATGTAATATGAATAAAGTTTGAAATACTTTTTTTTTTCTCTAAACCGTGACCAAAAAAACTTGACTCTGCACTTCCTTATTTCGATTTAAAAATTCTTTTTTTTTTGTTGAACTTTTCTTATGAATATGAAATTTATTTAGATTCCAAAACAACTTGGTGAAGTAGCAGCATTTGGTGGATCAAGTGTTGAACCAAGTGTTCAAAGTTGTTTTGGATATGTAAGAAAATAATTATTACGAAATAAATAACTTATTAAACAAAAAAAAAACAAATATTTCTAGGCACATGATCCAGATGTAATAACAACTGAAGATTTTCTTGAATGGGTTAAACTTGAACCACAATCACTTGTTTGGTTACCTGTTTTACATCGTTTAGCAGCAAGTGAAATAGCTAAACATGAAGCACGTTGTAGTATATGTAAAATATATCCTATACTTGGATTTCGTTATCGTTCATTAAGACATTTTAATTGTGATATATGTCAAAATTGTTTTTTTTCTGGTAAACAAACAAAAATTTTTAAAATGGCTGATCCATTACAAGAATATTATACTGAAGTTTGTTGAATTTTATTTAAATAATTAATAAAATATAAAAAATAATATTTTTGTTATTGTGTAGACAACATCTTCTGAAGATATTCGAGATTTTTTTCGTACATTTAAAAATAAATTATGGACTAAACATCGAAAAATTCCTAAACTTGGTTATTTACCATTACCACATGTATTTAATAATATATTATCAACAAATGAACAACAAATTTTACCATCATCAATAGTAGTTTCATCAGTAATTACACCTTCTAAGTATAAAAAATATTTAATTGTAATAAGATTTATTTTTTTAATAAAGCAAAATTTTATTTTAGACTTGACAATGAAATTACAACACAAACAATAACACCATCGATGGACTCGTAAGTAGATAAACTTTTTTTTTTTTGACAAAAACAAACTTTTAAATTTTTATTATTTCAGTGATGATGAACATTGTATTATTGCACAACATTGTAAAAATTTGAGTAATGCTTCGTATAAATCAGTAAGTAAAAATCAATATTCTATTTAATAAAGTATTTTAGTATATTTTCAAATTCGTTAGAGATCGAACTAATTACTAATTAGTAGAATCTGTGAGATTACACATTCGAAGACATGAATTTGACAAACTGTACACTTGTGAATAGAAGAAGAAAAAAAAATATCTCCTATCTTTGAGGTTCCGATCGAAGAATTTTGGTCCCAATGGATTTTAACGGCCGATTTGATGATTCAGTCTGGCATGCTCAGATAGATTTCATCTCTTAAATTTACATGTAAATCCGAGTTAAATATATGTTAATTACTATATAAGTAATATTGATAATGGAAAAAGAATAAATAAGTTATTGAAGCTGTAGATTCGGATCTGACCATGCCTATACCAAAGTTATTTTTTGAATCAAGATAATAACCTAATAAAAGATCAAAATTTCTGGTAGCTATTGATTTTTATTAGAAAATGGTCAATCGAAAAGTGAAACGTTGTATCTTGATAGGCTAAGTTTAGTTCTTTTCTATTCAAACTTGAAATTAAATACAAATTAAATTTGAGTATAGACGCGACTAAATTAAAATCAAAAGAAATTTGTAGAGCAGAAATTTTCTTTTTTTCTTTAAATAAAAAATTTCAATCTTATTCTTATTATGATATTGTAATATGTTTTAAGCCTGCTTATGAATCATTACCTTGTTCAATATCACTTGATAATGATGAACGAGCTGAATTAGAAGCTATAATTCGTGATCTTGAAGATGAAAATCATCTTTTACAAAATGAATATGAACGTCTTTGTCAAGAACATCGAGAAAAATCTTTAATTATAAATGAACATCAAGAACAATTACAATTAAATGATAATTCTATAGAAATTTATAATGATCGTAAAATATTACGTGAAGCAAAACAATTACGACAACATAAAATTAAATTAGAACAACGAATGAAAATTCTTGAAGAACATAATAAACAATTAGAAAAACAATTAAAACGTTCAAAACAATTATTATTCAAAGAAGTAATTAAAACAAAAAAAAAACATTTACTATTATTAGCATAAACATTCAAATGTTGTTTTCAATAACTTATGTCAAATATAAGATAATAATCAATAGTCAAGACTCTCAAAACATATTTTCATAATCATTCAGAATGAATAAATTTAGTTTTCTTCAAGCAATTGAGATGCATTATAACAAATTTTGTAAAACATAAAGATAATAAACAAAAATTATTTTGCTGACTTATTCTACTCGTATGTTTTTGTAGTCATAACACTCACGAGGGAGCATTCTCAACTGTCACATCGCTTTTAAGCTGAACGTATGCGCATTATGTAGACCCTCACGATCTATGAATTCTCTGAAAAAAGTTCGTGCTGCTAGCTTATTATTGCCGAGATAGAGCGTTTTTACTGTATGTTTAAGAAAAAAAAAGCCGTGGTCCCCCTCAGGAACATCGGAAAACTGAATTTCGAATTTCGTCTTGAAACTTTGCATAGATATAGGCCTCAATGAGAATAGTTTATTGTGAAAGTTTCAGCTCTTTTCGCTGTTCCTATCCTATGATATAGCTATCGTAAAATTGTTCATATACACCAGCAGATCCGATGTTCTTATCTCAGACTAGGAGCAACCAAAAAATCTGAAACCTTCACAATAAACTATTCTCATTGAGGTCTGTTTACATGCAAAGTTTCAGGTGGAAACTCAAAAGTCACTTTTCCTGATGTTCCTGAGGGGAACCACGGCTTTTCCCTTAAACATACAGTAAAAATGCTGTATCTCAGCAGTAAGAAGCTAGCAGCACGAACTTTTTTCAGGACATTCATAGGTCATTAGGGCCTACATAATGTCCATAAGCTCGACTCAAGCGATGTGACAGTTGGGAATGTTCCCTCGTCAGTTTGATCTATAATCTATTATCTTTCTGAACATACATACCAAAGAATAATGAAATCTTAGAACTTTCTAATCCAAATGTTTTGCTTAAACTCTTTAGAAGACATTCAAAACAACAAAAAAAAAAATTATCAGTTTTGAAGAACTGATCTTCGGAATAGAGTCCTGCACGGGTACTACTTTTCGCACCCGGACCCGGCCCGGCTCATTTTTTTCAAACCCGGAATCCGACCGGACCCGGTCATCTTCCACCCGGAACCGAACCGGACCCGGATAGCTCTACCCGGTACCCGACCGGACCCGGCCCAGCCTTGAAATAGTCAGCACTTGATTGTTATTGTCAAAATTATATTCACTTTTCAAACTTTTATTTCATATGGCAAAATATACTATTATTTTAATTTCATCAAGTAACAATTTGTACCCGGACCACAGTTCCGGGTCCGATCGGGTGCCGGGTATCCGGCCCCGTTGCAGGACTCTATCCTAGAGTGTAAAATACTTTTACTTGTTAAGATGTCATCGACTACCGGTCGGGTACCGGGTATGGTCAAATCCTGCACCCGACCCGGCATTTTTTTTTATACCCGGCACCCGAACCGACCCGGCAAATTTGTACCCGGACCACAGTTTCGGGTCCGGCCGGGTACCCGACCCCGTTGCAGGACTCTACTTCGGAATAACTTTTGTTTATGAAAACATGCTTGAGAGTCTTGACTATCGGTTGCTGAAAATCGTATGAGTTATTCAAATAAAAAAAATTTAAGTACTTGAACTTCGATTTTTGATTTTTAGTCTCCTGTACAAACTATGCGTCGTTCACTTGATCGAAATATTGAACGACAATCAAGTAATTAAAATTTTCTTTGCATAGAAAACAAAGAAACGAATTTTTTTTTTTTGATTTATTAGATTTATTAACAATCGATAATCTTTTTCATATGGCTGATGATATTAATCGTGCGATAGGCGATCTTGTTTCTGTAATAACTGAGCCACAAACAACTACATCTTCAAATTATTATCAACAAATTATCACTTCATAAATTAATTATCTCAGGAAAATGATTCTTTGTTCTTTCGTTTAATACTGTATTTTTCATTTGTTTTTTTTTTGTGTAATATAATTAGAAAATGTATTTTTAATTAATATTCTCAGGTAAAATGATAGTCGGATGATACTCATGACTAATCATACAGTCTCTTCTTCTTCTTTGTATGTTTCATTTTTTTCTTTTTTATTATTATTGTAGACAATATCTAAGTCATTGTTTCAATATAATATTTTGTTGTTTCGTCTTTTTAATATAATTATACATATATATATAAATATATGCATACATTTTAATATAACGAATAAAAAAAAAAAAGAAATTCTAAAAATATTTTAGATGTCGAGTTTTTTAACACGACGTTTGATTAATCGAGGATTGATTTTACAATGTCGAGGAATAGCATTATCATCATTGAAATGTAATGATAAAATAGACGGAACTTCGACATCACATAATACGGCTAATGTACAACCAAGTAAAAGAACGGCTTTATATAATTTTCATTTAAATAATTCTGGACGCATGTAAGTTTCTTATTGATTAGTTAAATTAAATTTGAATTTTTCTTATTTTTTTTTCTATTAGAGTTAATTTTTGTGGTTGGTCATTACCTGTACAATATTCGGCATCTGTTATACAATCTCATTTATATACACGTTCGGATGCTTCAATATTTGATGTATCTCATATGTTACAAATACATGTTAAAGGTACTGATCGTATTCGATTTTTTGAAAAATTAATTGTATCTGATCTTGAAAATTTACCTGAAAATTCTGCATGTTTAACATTATATACAAATGATCATGGTGGTATTCTTGATGATTTAATTGTTACTAAAACAAGTGATGGTTATTTATTTGTTGTATCAAATGCTGGTCGAGCTACACAAGATCTTGCTCATTTACATACTCAACTTGAAAAAGCTAAACGACAAGGTTTAGATGTTGATATTGAAGTACTTAGTAATCAAGCATTACTTGCATTACAAGTAAATATAGATGAAAAATAAAAACAACGATTTCATTTTCTTTTTGTTTATTTGTTTGTTTTTTTTAAGGGTCCACGTTCAGCTGAAGTACTTCAACCACATCTTCCATCATCATTAGATCTTTCAAAATTTTATTTTATGCAAAGTCGTTTAACAAATTTTGATAATGATCCAACAATTCCATGTCGTATAAATCGTTCTGGTTATACTGGTGAAGATGGTTTTGAAATAAGTATATCAAATGCAAATGCTGAACGTGTTCTTAAATCTTTATTATCATCTGGTATTGCTCAAATGGCTGGTCTTGGTCCTCGAGATTCTCTTCGTCTTGAAGCTGGTCTTTGTTTATATGGAAATGATATTGATGAACAGACAACACCTGTTGAAGCTGATTTAACATGGACTATTGGAAAACGACGAAGACAATTAGCTGATTTTCCAGGTGCAAAAATTATTTTAGAACAACTTGAAAAAGGTGCATCAAGAAAACGTGTTGGAATAAAATCATCTGGTTCATGTCCAAGAAGTGGAGTAGAAATTCGAAATAGTCGTGATGAAAAAAGTCGTATTATTGGCAAAGTAACAAGTGGTTGTCCATCACCATCACTTAAACTTATAAATATTGGTATGGCTTATATTGAAACTCCATTAGCTAAAGTTGGCAATAAAGTCAACATTAATATTCGTAATCGTACAATTGAAGCTGAAATTGTTAAAATGCCATTTGTACCAACACGATATTATAAAGCTTCAACAAGCAAAAAGAAATAATAATCAAATATGGTTTATTTTATTTTTGATAAACATATTTCCAGTATAATATGTGATTAATAACTTCTCTTTTATTTTCGTTTATTTGTTTGATAAACACTCCTTCATTCCAAAAAAAAAAACATGAAATAGATTTTTATTATTGATAGAATATAAAAGGGTTATGGGACGAACTTTTTCTATTATAGACTGGCTTGACATAGAAATCAATTGCAATGTAATATTCTAAATGTGTTCATTTTAACTTATAATGGTCGACATAAATTTAGAGCTATTTTATTTTTGAATTCTGTCCTTGAATGATATTAATTAGAAAGAATTTGACAAAATATTCAAGTAGCTCAATGAATTCTCTATTAGAATTGATAGACCTAAACACGTTCAATAAAACTGTTTGTACGAGAATGTCTGAAAACTGATTCCCTCCACGATCAGTTGACTGGCATCTACTTGAAGCTTTTTTGAAAATGATTTTATTTTATAGAGTCGAATCAGATACGTATCTGTGCTCTCTTCATGGCCCTTCTTTATCGAACTACATTCAATTTATGAAAAGTCCCAAAGCATGAAACATGGTGGAATCATTGAAGTTTTTCATAAAAATAAAAGAAAAGTATTTCTTGAGTCATCTATAAATTGAATGCAGTTCGATGAGAGAACGTCATGGAAAGAATAGAGATATGTCATTTTGCTCTATCAAATAGAATCATTTAAAAAAAAAGCTTCAAATGTATACCAGAAAATTGGTTTTGAAGGACATGATCTTCGAGACATGTTTATCCAAGTAGTTCTATTGGAATTTCTAGGTGTACCAAGGGTATAGGTGGCTATAGATGAGGATATTGATAGTCTCTTCATTTTTATACTCATATCCATACTCAAACCTTCTACGTCATGTAACTTTGATGAATAAATGGCTTTAGTGTAAATTTATTTAAAACAAACATAAAGGCTTTTATGTTTTAGTTCATTTCGTAACAAATTTTATTACATGAACTATTTACATTGCCATAAAACTAAACATTGTATAAAATTTCATGATTAATCACATATAAAAAAAACATTCAAATCAAAATAATATCGACACCTCATTCATATTCATTCAAAAAGTGGCAAAGGCCGTTAGACTAAGTATCGCTGCGACTTTAAAAGCTTCCGAAAATAAACACATTTACATAATGATGTGGGAGTATATTATTTAAAAGCTTCACGAAGACTATTACGTCATATGATCAAATCTTTTTCACCTCTTGTATCATAAACAAATGGAAATGCTTTAGATTTGATTTCCACACATGCCATAGAAGATCCTGAATATTTGGATAATTTACGAATAGTGCCAACATCAAAATCAAAAACTCTTTTACAAAAACACTAACTAATGCAGTTCAAAATGTAATTGTTGGATAAGACAAAAAAAACTGCCTCTTTAAGAAAACACATCGCTTATTATTTTGTTTTTGAAAGATAAATGATAAAAATAAATTAAAAAAATGATTGAAAAAAAAATCTGTTTTTAAGCATATTGTCATTCAAATGTGTGAGTTGAGTTTTGAAATAAGAAAAGAATATGCGGAAGACATTCGCTATTTAAATTTGATTGTAAAATATGACTACAAGTAAATTTGAATGTACTCTGATAGTTTGATGGATGTATTGTGCAAGAATGTGTTGCAATGAGCACCGTGTGTTGCACTTGAATGTATTGTGCACTGTATCGTATTTTACCACATATTTCATCTTAGTGTGTAATGAATCATCAACCTCTTCTCAGGTATATTATACATTGTGTGTAATCGCTTGATCGGTCACAATTTTTTTTTGTCATTCTGTTCTCAATTACGTATCGTTCTATATACTCTGTATTGATCTGTATATATGAAGAGAGCATGTAGAGAGAGAAAGAAAAAAAGGCGCATTTGGTGACATAAACTAACAAAGTAAACAGTGTGTAAAACGAACAAACGCTCATATTTTAACTTTCTTATTATACTTGCCTTCTTTACGGTACCAAAACTATGTCAGACCCTATAACCGATTTGACGACAACGATTGCAACACTGTTCATTAGTACTTCTTCTGCCGGTCAAGAAACAATAATGAATTCTTCATGGATGAATGGAACGGAGATTTCAGCACCATTAGATGCAGCTCCACCACTCTGGGCAGGTTTTGTTGGTTGTCTGGTTGCATCGGTCTTCTTCGGTTCGAATTTTGTTCCCGTAAAACAGTATTCTGCCGGAGATGGTTTCTTCTTTCAATTTGTCTACTGTGTTTCTGTTTGGGTTGTTGGTCTAGCACTTGATGTTTTCTTGGGTAACCAACGATTCTATCCGCTCGTACTTGTTGGAGGTAAGACATTGATCGAAAATTCTGCGTGTCAATCGAATTATTTTAGGCGCACTCTGGGCAACCGGCAATCTTGTCACGGTTTTCTGTATCAAGACATGTGGCTTAGCTGTCGGTATCCTGATTTGGTGTACGACCTGTTTGATTACGGGCTGGGCAGGCGGTCGCTTTGGCCTATTTGGTGTTAAAGCACAAGTTCCATCGACATCATTGAAATTAACCATGAATTATGCTTCAGTCATATTGGCTGCGACAAGTGCCATCTTCTTTATTCTAATCAAATCCAACACTACGTCACACAAGTCAAGTGATGGTGACAAACCAGATGAACAAGCCGCAGTAGAGCTATGGAAGAAACCGGATGTCAATAAAGAGACAGTCGTAGTAAAGACGGAAACTGACTTTCCGTTTCTTAATCGTCTTAGCGGTCCGATCCAAAAGGCTCTTGGTTGCTTTCTGGCAGCATTAGCCGGCATCTTCTATGGCCTTATGTTTATACCCGATCAATATATTCGTGATCATCCCGACGATTTTATGTACAGGGGAGAACGACCTCCATCCAATGGTCTTTACTATATTAATTCGCAGTACTCAGGAATTTTGCTTTCATCTACTATCTACTTTATTATCTATGCGATTCTGAAACGTAGCAGACCGGCTATCAATCCGATCATTGCGATACCGGCCATGGTTAGTGGATCGATGTGGGCCATTGCGAATATTGGCTTCATTGTGGCTATTAGTTCATTGAAAGGTGCCGTTGCCTATCCCATTGTGACCGTTTTACCAGGTGTTGTGACATCACTATGGTCATTATTCTGGTTTCGAGAAATTGTCGGCAAACAAAATTACATCTATCTCGGATGTGGCATGCTTCTTCGATGTCTCGCTGCTCTTCTCAGTGGTCTTTCGGCATAGAACTTCGCTCGGAATGAACATGAAGATCGCACATATTTAACTTTAATGGTTTTTCTAATGACTCTTTTTTTTAATGACACACGAGAACATTGATCTTGTTCATCGAAATATTTTAATAACAGAAGATAAAAGGACGGAGTCGAACAACTGTATATTACAACGAAACAAGGACACAAAATTGTAATGCTGTTCAACATTTTTCCCTAATAAATCTGCATTAGAAGAGACAATCGAGTGAAAAACTTAAACTAAGTTCGTTTGTTGAGTATCTTCATTTAAATGTCTTTTGTATCTACTTTCATCTTGACAACATCATTCTAAATCCAACGAAATTATCAGTCGATTATTCCATCAATCATTACTTTTTCATTTTCTTGAACCATTTTGACGAATATTTTTGCAACATTCATGAATATGTTACGTGGCTGCCTCATTCGACGAAAAAAGCGACACTGCTTATTTGTGAATCGATCTTTGAGGCTTTGTTGCACGCTTTGATACATTTCGTATCATTGACCATTTTCAAATGAGTAAAAACCCATGTTCGATTGAACAGAGAGTTTCAACTGTTTGACTTTCTCCTGGTCGACATAGAGTGCGTGTGTGAATATAAGTTTTCGCTTCATTCTAATCCATATTGGCAGATCCACAAACCTCTCTAAATTTTCTATAATCTAAATTTTTTTAAATTCATGACACTCTATTTATGAGTCACTTGCTGTTGACACAAGCAGGGCTTAAAATCTTTCTGAATGTGCAAAGCAAAAGTGGGAATAATGTCAATCGTATGGGATGCCTTTATTTTTGATAGAAAGTATGAAATGATTAGAACAAGGAAGTGGAAAGATGTCACATAAATCAAGACTTAAGACGTGAAGCCGCCTTTACCTTCGATTTGACTTTTCTGCTACAAGCAGACCGTATTGTGAAAAAAAAAGATTTTTTTTTCCTTCGTTCGTACACTCTGCTTATCTTTTAAGTAACCAATTGTTTTTTTGCTGAGTAAAGAAACCACGTGAAGCAAGATATACGACGCAAAACAAGTCGCATTTTCGGTATGAGTTTTTTTTCTGCAGGTAAGCATTGATGAAAGAGATTCAGATTTTTTTCTTTGATTGTGACATATTTTCTTTAGCGTTTTTTATTGCGATGATTGATTTGTTTTGTGACGGATACATTAATTTTGTTGAAGGACAGAAAGGTATTGCATAAAGACGGAGATAAGACAGAAAAAGAATCTTCCTTACTAATATCACTTTTTGCTTGGATATAGCTTGAATAAAAATTAGTTTAGTTGTTTATTTGATATATCGTAGCAATTATATTTTACTTCTTCAAGCTGATTCATCATGTCAAGTGCTCATCATCAACGTATTTCAGTTCCAATTGATGTAGTCGTATGACTGGAGTGTATGTGATTGAATGTAGATTTGTGGTATGATTAAAGTATTGGACATATTGTCATCACTCACATCCCACACCCCGAATAGATCGAATTTTTTTCAATTTTCGAATTAGATATGTCGTCCATTCACTTTACAATCATGCTCTGATTTTTGTCAGCTAGAAAGTTTCAGTATAGAGGAACACAAGAATGGACTACTTTGTGAGTGAGTGAGTGTTGGTGTCGGAATCAAGCAGAATGGTAGAGTGTGACTAGGGAAGTCATTTTCATGTTAATTTAAAATAAATATACCTTATCGAAAAAAACCATAACTTATTAAGTTATAAATTAAATTAAATTAAATCAATTTATTCTATTTCTTTTTCATATTTCGTCATAGACAGACGAACAAAGTTACGACTGTGTAAAAAGGCAGTGAAAATTTTAACAAAAATGAAATCATAAACAGTGTAAATTTTTACGCGTTCACAATGCGTTAAAATTTCAGAACAAATATATATCTATTCGAAAATATAACGTTTTATGAATGCGTTTTTATGCATACATTTTACAATTTTATTTTCGTTAAAATTTCAACGAATTTTTTTAAGTATGTTCAGATTTCCAAAAAGTAAATTTCCCTATGAATAAACATTTCAAAAACAACAACCAGCAACTAATGATATATTACCAGGAAATATCATTAGTTTCCAAAATTTTCTCCAATATACATAAATATTTCTATTCATATCATGAAAAGGAGACCATATCCTATGAAGAAGTTGAAACTAACAATATTTTCGTTTATTCATAGGATAGGGTCTCCTTTTCATCAAATAAATAGGCATATTCATGCAATACATTGAAGAAAATTTCAAAAATTACGGATGCTTTCTGGCAAGTGCCGTGTTTTAGCACAATTCGTATCGATTGCTGTAATGATAGATATGGGTTTTTTTATGAAATTGGCTAATGTATGAGGAAAATTTACTTTTTTTTGGAAGTCCGAGTACCGTTGGTTTTTTTCTTGTTCTTCTGACTGGGATGATATATGAATAAAAACAAGAATATGTTCATTTATAATTTATATTTAAAATAAATTATATATAAGAGAAAAATTATATTTATTTTAAATGTCAATTACGAATAATTTAATTTACACGTAAATCAAATTGAAAGTTATTATAAATTGACATCTCTAAGTATGATTATAGTATCGCAGTGATGAAAACTTGATCCAACCCTCGACAGTTATATGGATCCGACGCCACTCACCTGCTAAGCATTGTTTTGACTTTGTGAACATTGATAATTTGACTAAAGTCTTGTAGAATCGAGAAAAGCGCACGTACAATGAATCGGTTTACTGAACTCAATCTTGATAAGAAGAACCTTCCACCTGTTGCTGACTACTGGGCTTATCCATTAGTTTCGCTTGAACAAGCATTAGTACCTTTACTGTCTGAAATCGAACATTTAGAACGTTCTATTGAAGAAGCCAAAAGACACTGTCATTATCCATCAGAACATGGTCTTACACATGATGAATCGGCCTCGATTTTTTTATATACAATGGAAGCAGGTGATTATAGTTTGTATCGATTATTAAACAAAACATTACGAGACGAAGATCGACATAAAATCAAGCCATGGTTTAGTTTTCTGAAATTATTCGACACAGCACTTAGTAAATTGCCGACTGTAAAGGGAAACATTTGGCGAGGTATATCTAGTGATGTTAGCAATTATTATAACGAGAACGAGCTATTAACTTGGTGGAGTGTAACCTCTTGCTCGGTGTCGCTGAGTGTTGTCCAAGGGTTTTTAAGCTCTCATAAAAAATCTACTCTCTTCATGATTGAAGCTGTCAATGGAAAGAACCTTGCTGGCTATACTATTTATCCTAATGAGAAAGAAGTGATATTGAAATTGGGTAGTAAGTTTCGTGCCAAGAGCAATGCATTGCATTATGGCGATCTACAAATTGTTCAATTGGAAGAAGTAGAAAATGATGGCATACGTGAGTAATTATTACATCTTTAGTTCAAACAATAGGTTCATACTTTGTTTTTTGACACAGAAAATCATGATAACTTCTAAAAATTTTTGAGTTTATAAAAAGGCAAGAGAATTCAATGGAAATCGTCTCAATGCGTGAAAAAAAATAAGTCAATAGATACGAGAGTCCCATTCCAAGATATCAGCATTATATATGTCATTTTGACACATATCAAACTCAAAGCGTCAAGATTTAGCCGTTGTTTGTATTTAAAATATATAAACATCCATCGAAACCTCTTATCGAATTAGAGTGTTAGTGTGCATGTAGATGAAGAGAAAATCAGCACACATACATCCACACTCTTACAAACAGAATTTATGGGCGACAAAAACATGATGCGCTAATTAAGGCTCAAGTAAGAAATATTCATTCTCAATGTAGTATGAATGAGTTGATTGAATCAAAGAAGAAATCATTGGTAAGAATTGATTCGTTGGGGAATTTTTCTTTTCTGTAATGATCACAATCGAATTCAAGAGAGACGAAAATGAGTTTCTTTTGAAAAATCTGAGAATAAAAAGTGTCTTTCAAGAACATGTTACAACGAAGATTTACCGTCAGAGTTGATCAATATAGAATGATTGGAAAAATAAAATTTCAGTTAGAAGATGATTTGAAAAGAATCGCTTTCAATTCAACATTAATTTCCAAAGGAGAATGTTCATATTCATACATATTTTGATCTCCTGGTTTTTTAAATTATTTATTACTTTTCTGACGATTTACTAAAATTGAAAAATCAATTTAATATCACACATCAGAATTTTTGTTGTAAACAAGTCAATTTTTCAGATGAATTCAATCAAATATTCCTCCAAAATAAAGAAAAACAGATACGATTACTTTTATTGAATTCATAAAAACCCCCAACGAATCTACAAAATCACAACAAATGTCTCGTTCTATTTCGAAAAAATTTCTTCATCAAATAATTTATGTGTCCTAGTTACGCTTCGTAAAACATCACAGTTGTTTTTCTGACTAATGATTATCATTTGTTTGTTTTCGACCTGAGTCGATGTAAGTAGCAGGTTGTAAATGTGCATGTATCTTTTCATCAACATCCACACATATACAAGAAAATAACGTCCGCTGTAGATAAAATACAACAGAAGTGTTCCGACTGTGGTTGAGATCATTCTTATACACGTTCATTACGTATGACGACCATCTTTATTTAGTTCTTGCAGACATTGTTATGTTTTACTGTTCTATCTTATCCCATGCCTCTTTTTTTATATGTCTGCTCTCTGTTAAGGATACGACAATCCTACGTCGACATTTTACTCGAACCATCATTCACTACATCAGCCACCGAAACCGAACGAAATCGTTCCTACAGAGATACGTACGGTTAAAATAGTTATCGTCGGCGATGGATGTGTAGGCAAAACGTGCTTCTTCAACTTTTACACCAAAGGCATATTTTCAGTTAACCTTCCCACTATTTTCGATGCTGCATTTCGGAATACAATGTGCGATGGAAAAGAATTCAATCTAAACATTCATGACACTGCTGGAGCAGAGGACTTTGACCGTCTTCGTCCATTGGCT